ATCGGGACAGGGGTAGCCTAAATTTTATGCTCTGGTAACCTCTAGGTTAGATCATTGCAATGTGTTATATGTGGGGCTGCTTCTGAAGACAGTTTAAAACTGCAGCTGGTGCAGAATTCAGTAGCCAGTGGCAACACAGTTTGAACATATAACACCAATCCTAGCCTGACTGAACTGGGCATCAATTACTTTCTAGGCCCAATTCAGAGTGTTGGTTTTGACTTAGAAGGCCTTAAATGGCTCAGGACCGCAATACCTCAAGGACTGCCTCTCCCCATATGAGCCAACCTGGACCCTGTGATCATCATCTGAGGATGTTCTTTATGTGTCCCTCCACAAGAGGTCCAGAAGGTGGCAACACAAGAATGATCCTTTCCTGAAGTGGCTTCCTGTCTGTGGAATGCTTTCCTCAAGGAGGCTTGCTTGGTGCCGCATTATATATTTTGTCTAGGGGAAGATAAAGTAACTAACAAATTTAATAAATAAAATAAAGTCTTTGGCACTGGTTGAGATCCCTGGAATTCTTTCCATCTTTTCTAATGTTAGATGCTAGAAATATCCTCCATCTTATGCACTTGCTGGCTGATACAGCAAGTTTTAGACTGTTAGACCAAGCAAAGAAATATTGAAAGAGATGTGCATGTGTATAACATAATATTCAATTTTACAGATAAAAGAATTCTAAGTGAACCTAGAAAACATGCCAGGTGAGGGCTTGACTTTTTCACCCCATTATCTACTTACAGAAAGTTGTTCTAAGTGATTGACTGTGTATGAAGTCTGGTAATATATTTTCTTTAAAATTCAGTTATTTTAGCTAAAATTCTGCAGCCACACTGCTTAGCATAAGACTCTAAAAAAATATTCAGTGACTTCTCACTTGTCTGTGGACATATTTTTCATATGTGCCTAATTGAAACACAGTTTTAATTAGAAAATGCCTTTTCCCTTTGAGCTCTTTTCCCCTTGAGCTATGTACCTGAATGAACTATGTGCTATTTTTTACATGTAAATCAATATCTGTGACTTTTTAAATGATAAGATTTTCATTTGAATATCCACAGCACTCAGACAGAGGGTGCTTTTGTGCTGGAGAAGAGGTAAGGGCAAATGGATAATTTAATTTGTTTTGAAATTGCTTGTATGTGAGAGGCATATCCCTGGTGGAGTTTTCCCAAGGAATTAATGCTAGTTTGACTAAAAAGAATAAGATGATCCCTGTTTAGAAGCATGCTACGCATTTGCCACTTTCGCATAGTGCAGAGTGTGTATGTACAAATGCACTAGCATGTTCTACTGGAATATTTAGTAACTAAAAGGAAATGGTTTAGGAACCTGTTATTACACAGCTTCTATTTAAACACCATTCCAGGTAATGGCAGGGTACATGCAGTTTCACATTCTCCTATGAAGTAGATGCACATTTTTGACTATGTGGGATACAGAATCACTACATTTATTTGTTTTTGGCTGACTGACATCGGTGCTTACAAGCTTCTTGAGGCATTTTATATAGCCAATTGCTATAGCAATTACTTGTCTCATTTGGTTAGTTCTTGTTTAATGAACAATAACATCAAAATAAGTTTCTTAAGAGGCCTCTGTTGCCAATGCCAGTTCCTCAAAGTACCTAAACACAAGCGGTTGCCAACTGCTACGCTACAATTCTTCAGAGTATAAATATAGAGGTACCAAAGACTAAGTTTTTTTTATTTTCATAATTGTATCACCTGCCTTTTTTCCTTCAAAAAGCGGTCAGTCAAATCAGCTAAGAAGTGCAAAAGCAAGAGTGATTCAACCGTTAAGATACAAATCATTAAATTAAAACATCAGCAAAAAAAATGACATAAGGAACAGCACTAACATAGAACCAACAACAACATATTGCTTTAAAAAAGAGTGTTTTCAATGCTGGTGGGATATAAATATATGACTACAACCTAACTTATTGAGCAGGGATTTCCACATGAGGTACCACCACAGAGAAAGGCCTCTTGCATATGGTCATCAATTTTGTCTTAGAACACATGCAAGAGGCAGGGGTGGTTAGATTGGCTCCTGCCAAGGCATAGAGTGAAGTCAGCCTGCTTGCCTGTCTGCACACTTCCAGGGCCATTCCTTTGCTGCTCTGGGTGGCCAGATGAGGCACACAGGCTCCTCAGGCAAAGGCACAAGGGACAGAGCACTGATACAGCTCCTTGCCAAGGGCACCAGGGAGCGAAGTTTCACCCAGACGTGGGTAAAACAGCTGATCTTAAATGATAGACAAGTTCACATTAGAGGAGACAGTCAAGCTTGACCCCATGCTATTTAGGGTTTGGTAAGTAAGAACCAAGACAATGAACTGCACTCTTTTGATGTAAAGAATATGTAACAAACTTCCACAATGAAATGCTTAGAATCATATCAGATATGAAATTGGTATAGGCTGCAATCCTGTACCAATTTACCTGATAGTATGCCTCAACAGGACTTTATTCTGGTTTGATATGTATGGGATTGTACTATTACTGCAGGATTGACCCCTTGTTCATTTGGGCACTGTGGTATATGAGGAAGAAAGATTAAATCTTTCCTTCTGCTGCAGTCATGACAAAACTCACTCACTTGAAGGTTAATTTTGCTTTTATTCCATCCCACAGAACTGTTGAAACTCAGACTGGAGAAGATGGCTCTAGGTATCATACAGTGAAAAATTAATTCTTCTTTAAAACATTAATTTGATTCTCTGTGTACTTAAAATTAATGAAGCGAGGGGTTCACTAAATAATTCATGTACTTTGAGAATAGTAACTCTTTGGATTTTCCGTGAGGGTGACAAGGATTATCCTTGGTGGATTTTAAGGACAAGTTGCTACCAATTGACTTAATTTGGCAAAATTGCTGAAACTTTCGTATTCAGGTCAGAGAATGGTTGCTGTGGACAGGCAACTTTAGTGACAATAATGTGATGATACAGTGTAGCTATTGTGGTGTGGGCCTTAAGGATTTTGCACCAATCCTTACATGGCCACAAGTGTGGTCTGACTCCCACTTTCTACCTTTTACCTCATTGTCCTGAAGACTCCTACAACCTTAAAGGAATTGGCAGACTGTAGTTCACAGCTGCATGTTCCATACAACACAATCCACAGTCTGGAATTCAAGATTGACTCTCCAGCGAGTATGCATAGAATTGCAGTCATAAAGTGGTGGACCACATCACAGATTATGAACCTGATCTGTTATTATTTCCCCCGATTTAGCTATGTTGTTGAAGACTCATTATCACAGGTAAGCAAAGTGTCTGGGGCTAGGTGGGCAGCTGCTGTGCAATTCTTATACCTTAAATCCAACACACATTGGACATAGAAAGTCATGCTGATTCTCTGCCGAACAATTTCTTTAATCTAAAATCTGATCTGCCCACTTTTTACAGCCATACCAGTCAGCTTGAAAATTTAGCTGTTTTTGCAACTTCCTGTGGTGGCGGCAAGCTGGAATCTTGTACTTGCAGTGTTTCTGTGTTTCTGTTGTGTTTGTCACTGCCTGTAGAAGAGTCCTCACCTATATTAACAATATGAAGCAAACACAGGATTGAGTATTTCACATTTTATTCACTATAGTTTATTGTACTTATATTTTATGTATTCCCCCTTGATGCCTATTTATCCAACTATTAAAATTAGTCAGTAAATCCAAATAGTGAATTGTATCCAACTAACTCATACTCAGAGTAAACCTTCTGAAATCAGTGCATATGACTAACTTAAATCCATTGATTTCAACATGTCATATGACTTAAGTTGATAAAACCCAGTATATTTTGGGGGGTGGGAATCACAACAGCTGCTTAATCTAGGTGTTTATTGGTTGAAGTGGACTTTTTTTGTAGAGATGCTTAGAATATATTTTTAAAAAACCTTTTCATCTAATATTCTCTTTGCAGGATGAGTTTGAATAGCAGAAGTCCAGTGTGGTGTAACAATAACCTATTTGAGTGCTGGAGAGCTTTCATGTTTGACATTTTAAATTTTGGTGAACCATATTAAAATATTTATAGCTATATGCCAAATAAAGATATTTTAATCCTGCTATAGTTTGAGTTAGTATAGTTATTATTAATAAATTGTTGGTGTGAAAAGCATCAAAGGTATCTGTCTTCACTTGGACAAAATTGCATTTCTTCCGGTGCAGTTTAGAGATTGTTTATCAATACAGTAAAGCATCACATAGGCATTGGGTCCATAGGGGCTATGCATGATCTCTACCACATGTGGATAGGGGCAGCAGCTGCATGTTCTACTGAAAGCCACTCCTAAAGACTGAAATGCAAAACGTACTGTCTGTGACTGCATTGAAATACTTGCAGAGTAGGCACTTTGATTACTAACAATTCTAATTGCAATAGGTTAATAGTGGATTCAGGGAGCCATTGTGTCTATTCGAGGTCAAACAGGAGAGTTAGGATTGCTTTTGACATCATTTGAGTATTTCCCCCTCCCTCGCATATGAGTAGCCCCTTCCCATTTCATGCTGGCCAGACTGACAACTATTTTTAGGGTGCTTCCTAATGGGTGTTTATTGTAGAATGGGCGCGCCTCAAACGCGCACATCTTTTACAGCGCATCTTGTTGCCATCCAATGCCAGCCTCTCCCCCCCCCTTAAATTTAATTTACCATCGCAGGAAGTAGCCTTAGTTAACCCCAAGAAATCAGAGCAAATGCACCCTTTCCCTAACTCTACGCCCGCCCTTTGTCCTTCCACGCGCTCTTCCCTTTTCCTAGCCAGCGGCATACTGGGCGGGGCGGGGGGGGAGAAAAGGGCGTGGCCCCCGCCGGACTGGGCGTCGCGGCCTGGAGTGAGAGGCAGGAGCAAACAATGAGTTGCAGTCCAGCTGCGCCGAAGAGGGTCGCGCAGACGTCGGGTTCGCGAGCGGCGGCGCGCGGGCGAACGCGGAGCAGCCGTGAGTAAAGGGCCCTCCTCCGCGCGAAAAGTCTCCACAGCTTCCCCCCCTTCGCCTCTTCTGTCGCTCGCTTTCTCGCCTGTGCTCCCCACAGCCCTCCCTCTCGAAAGCCTTGCCTTCAAAAAGGAAAACGGCGACAAATTCTGGACTTGGGTCCGTCTCTCTTGCACTGAAAAATCTGCTTTTCCTCAGGGCTCGCGCAATAAGAACGCAAAAGAGCCCCACCGTTTGAAGGGCAAGGCTGCTGAGACTGCAGCCCTTGGACCTTGTCTCCTCAGAGGGAAGCCTTCCTCCCAGGTCAAGGGGCTTCACGCTGCAACCTCCAGTTCCCCACAAGTGGCCAGGCAAGGGAAGTCCACAAGCAGGAGGTATAAAGGCAGCAGTGGAGGAGGCGGCTGTAGATGGCCACTACTGGCCACTATGGCTAGACTCTGCCTCCACGGCTGGAAACCACAGGAGGCGCGAGGGCTCTCGTTTGTGCTCAAATCCTGCTTGCACTGTTCCCTCAAGCATCTGGTTGGCCACCGTGGGGACGGGATGCTGGACTGATCCAGCAGGCGCTTCTTGTGTTCCCTCCTTGTTTGCTGCCCAACAGCTGACGATGTATATTGAGTAATATTGGCTAATACATTGTTTGTTTTCCTCCTCTTATTTTCTTGCCTATCTTCTGCTAGAGTTGCTGGGGCAACCCAGTCCCAATGGGCAGGGTACAAATAATAAAATCATCAGCATTATTATTATCCCCTGAGGTAGTGTTTGTGTGGTTCCCAGGTGGTCCCCCATCTGGGCATTTACCTACACAGCAGGGCCAAAACTAGACTTTACTTCTCCAGGGTTCAGCTTGGCATCTCTTCCCTCACCCCACATGCATTTGTGTACACACACACACACACACAGGATGGAAGCCTCAATGGCGCCCCTATGGAGACAAAAAAACCCAGCTAGTCCACCCCCAGTAGCTACAGTACTGTGCACAGACTGGTTTAGCTTCACCGAGCTGGTGGCCTCGCATGTCTCCAGATCATGTTGCAGTAGCCATTGATAAACTTGCTTTTAGGCTTTCCATTTCCTTTTAAAGTCATCCAAGGCCAGCAGCCATTGCCACATCATGCAATGGTCAATTCCCAATATTAGTTATGAATACTCTGAAGAGCTACTTCCCTTTGTCCTTCCTGGAACTTCTGTGATGTAATTTCATCCTGTCTGCTACTCGCCCCGCAACACTCTAGTATTGAAAGAGGAAGAGGAGGATCCTCTTTATCCATGTTCTCTTGACTATACATAATTCTATAATGTCACGGCACCCCTAAAATCATTTAAAAGTGTTTTGGCTAGTTTAAAAACTTAAGTTTTTGTGCCCTATGGACACCATATACTATATTCCATATTGAGTTGCTTCACCTTTTTTTTTCATGCACACTCTTAAAATAGAATTGCTGTTAAAAAAACACACCAACCTTCACACACACATGCACCATTCCCTCTTCCACCCACATATTGTATACCAGTGATATGTTTTCATGGGTCTTATTTATACACAACCATGCTGATTTTTCAGGCATGGTTTGTAGCCACACAACAGTGTTGGCCTCTTCCCCACACATAACTGTATAGCAGTGATGTAAACAATTTACATTTATCTGTATCCTGCCTTTCTTCAAGAAGCTCAAGGCGGTATACACAGTTTTGTTTATTTATATACTTATCTGTTGCCTTTCTTGGCCAAGTTAATTTCTCTCTTTGCATTTCATTCACTCCGCGTTTGTTCTTCACAACGACACAGTGAGGTCTGAGAGATAGTGACGGCCCCAAAGTTACCAGGTGTATTTCATGACTGAAGTTGTGGATGCAGTTTTCATTACAATTGCCCAACAATATACTCTGCTCTGATTAGTCTTTCTTTTGTCTTCTGCCATCATTGCATTTCCACTTCAGGCTTCCTTGTAAATGCAACTGCATTAAGTATTGGTAGGTTTCAATCACTTGTTACCACATTTTTAAGTTTAGCAGTTTGGCTGGCATTACTGGGACTTGTATAAGTGTTTTACTATCCTCTCCTCCCCTGCGCCACAAGATCCTACATATGATTACTCAAAAGTAAGCTCCACTTAGTCCAATGGGGCTTATTCCCAGGTAAGGTGGACTCTCCTTCATTTGAGGTTTTTAAAAAGTGTTTGGATGACCATCTATCAAAGATTCTTTAGCTGTGATTGTTTAGCAGTGACATTGCAGGGGGTTGAACTAGATGGGCCCCTTCCAACTTTACAGTTCTACCATTCAAAATGAGAGAAGTCTTCATCTGTTACAGCCTTCTCTCACTGTGCAAATCATTTGAAATGTCTGTAAAATTTGGAACCAATTCATACAATTATTTTTGAGGTGCAGTAAAGTTCATGTGATGTCTTGACCACTTCATTTTCACCTCTGAAAATAAGGAGCTGTTTGTGTGAAAAATAAACTGTTCCTAAGAGCACGAGTGTATTACGTCAATTAAAAAACAGTTATTTCATTCAGGACTACTGCGGCTTTTCAGCTGTAGGGAATTTTGCACAAATGGCTCCCTGTGTGAAAATAAAAAGTACGAGGCCATCACACAAGGGTGTTGCAACTTCAAAGTAGTTATGTGAATTGTTCCTATGTTTGACTTGGAAGAACATATCCAGGGCCCTCCACTGCATTTTAAAAGAAGGAGAATGCAAGGCATCCTGGGAACTGTAGTTTGTTATGGTTGCTGGAAAGGAGGTAACTACAGTTTCCAGGATTAGGGGAAAAGCAATGTACTTTAATTGTGCATTGAATACACTTTTAATGTATGGTGTGGATCTGCCCACAGCTTGCTTTGTTTGCATTTAAAAGATACAATTTTAACTCAAAAATGTGGGCACAGCCTACTGATGACTAACCACTTTCCATTATAATGGGGAATTTGGTACCCGTATAATTCTCCCACTGAAATAAAAAATATTTGAGTTTAGTTGGTTTGTGCTCTTGGAAGGGACTACATAGTAGAGTGCAAAGGGTTTGAATTCAATCCCTGGCCTCTCCATTTAAAACCACCTGGCAGCTGGTGAAGTGAAGTACACTCTGCCTGAGACCTTGGTCTAGTGCAAGGCATAAGCAAACTTGGCCCTCCAGATGTTTTGGGACTACAACTCCCATCGTCCCTAGCTAACAGGACCAGTGGTAAGGGATGATGGGAGCTGTAGTCCCAAAACATCTGGAGGGCCGAGTTTGCCTGTGCCTGGCCTAGTGATTCAGAGTTGACAATACTAGGCCGGATGGACAAATATAGTCTTCCTTGCAGTATGATTATGTGTCTTGTGATTTTTTAAAAGATAAAATTTAATTTAAATTAGTTATTTTTGGGGGGACGGACAGACATCTTTTTAAATGAAAGTTGGAATTGGCTTAGTGAAATGGTTTTTGGAGGCACTGCTTTACAGCAGCCACAATCTTATTTCCAGGGGCAAATTATTGGGTAATTGTCTTTTAGCAGTAGTGCTGTGGGGTGCAGCAAGGTACCATCTTGTACCCAATGTTGATTAACATCTATATGAAGCTGTTGGGAGTGGTGGTGGACTGGATGAGGGCCAACAAACTTGACTCTGAATCCTGCCAAGACAGAGGCACTGTGTGTTGGTGATCCTCAAGTCCAGATAACTGGTCAGTTGCCTGCTTTGGATGGGGTTGTACTCGCCCTGCAAGAGCAGGTTTGTAGTCTGGGGTGCTCCTGTGTCCCTCTTGGCTTCTAGAGACCCAGGGAACCTCAATGGCAAAAGGAGTGCCTTTTACCAGCTTCAACTGGTAAGACAGCTGCCGCCATTTCTGGACCGCATTCACCTGTCCACTGTTGCCTGTGTGCTGCTAAACTCCAGGATTACTGCAATGTGCTCTGTGTGGGGCTCCCCCTGACGTTGGTTTGGAAATGGCAGCTACTGCAAAATACAGAAGTTCAGCTGCTCGCTGGTCACTGCCTTAGTACGCCATTGCTGAAAGAATTCCTCTGCCAGTTAGAAAGTAGACGAAGTTTAGGTTTTGGTGTATAAAGTCCTATACAGCTTGGGACCAGGATACAGGAAAGATTGTCAAAATTTGCCAGGTGCATTTTGCAACTGGCTATCGGCCACTTGCAGCCAAGTTAAGATGCTTGGGCGCCAGGATGATGCCTGACATCTCCACCATCTGGAGGTGCGTGCCTGGGGATCCTTGGATCTTGTCTGTTTTCACACACTAACAACACATCCTGTAGAATTCTATCTGTGATATTTTGTCTGCACGATCAGAACAAATTCCAGGAACCAAAAGATCATATTGAAAAATAGAACCTTTGAGCTGTCTGGCCCCCAAACAGCAACTAGACATTCCTTTTTGGCCACTTGTAACCCTGGTTTTAGGGACGCTGGTGGTGCTGTGGGTTATACCACAGAGCCTAGGACTTGCCAATCAGAAGGTCGGCAGTTCGAATCCCCGTGACGGGGTGAGGTCCCGTTGTTCGGTCCCTGCTCCTGCCAACCTAGCAGTTTGAAAGCACGTCAAAGTGCAAGTAGATAAATAGCTACCGCTCCGGGGGAAGGTAAACGGCATTTCCGTGCGCTGCTCTGGTTCGCCATGCTGGCCACATGACCCGGAAGCTGTACGCCAGCTCCCTCAGCCAATAAAGCGAGATGAGCGCCGCAACCCCAGAGTCAGCCATGACTGGACCTAATGGTCAGCGGTCCCTTTTTAACCCTGGTTTAAGGAGCCATTTGGTGCCTGGCTTACATTTCTAGCGTTTCTAACACTGCTCCCCCATTAACATACCCAACTGACCATTGTGAGCTACAGCCTTGTGCTGATATCATTTATGTGTTTGCCATCCTGAGCAAGTGCATATAGATTAAAATAATGGTAGTGGTAGTAGTAGTTGTTGTTGTCGTCGTCGTAAGGAATTTCTAGCCTTCCTTTAGCAAGTTGGAAAGCCCAAATGATGGTTGAGGGTGGGGCAGACTTTCAGTATAATTCCCACGCAGAAATATTCTAGTGTAGCAGCTTGGATTTTCATTCCTGCACACAAGGGTTCCTCCACAAAACAGATGGTTGGCACTGCTAGCTTTGGCAGCGCTGATCAGACATTTGGGCGGGGGTGTATTTGGAATTGGTCTTCCGCCCGAAACAGATGATTAGAGCAGGGAGTGCCAACCATCTAGAGCGAAAAGCATTCTCCGTTCCACAAGAGGTCTGTATGCACAGGCTTTAGCTGAGATGCCGAATGCCCTGCCCCACTTTATCACAGTCTAATGCAGGCCCTGTTCTAGAAAAACTATCCATCTGCTGGTCTGAATGTGTTCTGAATGAAGGTGATGGTGTTTACTCACATATTTTTTTAAACGATTTAAAAAATGTTTTAAAAAGGTAAAGGTACCCCTGCCCGTACGGGCCTATCGTGTCCGACTCTAGGGTTGTGCGCCCATCTCACTTAAGAGGCCGGGGGCCAGCGCTGTCCGGAGACACTTCCGGGTCACGTGGCCAGCGTGACAAAGCTGCATCTGGCGAGCCAGCGCAGCACACGGAACGCCGTTTACCTTCCCGCTAGTAAGCGGTCCCTATTTATCTACTTGCACCTGGGGGTGCTTTCGAACTGCTAGGTTGGCAGGCGTTGGGACTGAACAACGGGAGCGCACCCCGCTGCGGGGATTCAAACCGCCGACCATGCGAACAGCAAGTCCTAGGCACTGAGGTTTTACCCACAGCGCCACCCGCGTCCCTAAAAAATGTTTTAAAAATGATTAAATTTCAAAACTTGGCTTTAAGCAGTAGATCTTACATGCTACAGTTCAGAGAAGAACATTTGCTTCACACTTCATTGAAATTCAGAGAAGTTAGGTGTTTTGATTTATGACAGTTAAATAACTATCATGTTATTAATGTTTGGCAAATAGCATGCTTTTTAATAAATCTCATCTCTGTCAGAAGAACCCTGTCAGAAAGGAACCTTTCCTCCCCCCCCCATCCATTTGTTGTCAATACGCTGCAGCTATTCAGTTCATTTCACAACAGTTACTTGCCTACCAAAATAGAGATAAAAATTAATAGCTTGCCCATTGCTACATGCATGAATTTTGGTGTGGGAGTATCTTTAATTTCCAGTTTTAGAAAACACTGGTTGTAAATAGCTAGTTGTTCTGAGGATTACCAAACTTTTCTTAAAAGAAGAAGAAACCCTTAAAAGGGATGGGGCAGGAAATACTTTGACTTTTTTTTTTAAAAAAAATACTTTTATGTAACCTCAAAGGAATATATAGAAAAATCACGGCCAGAGTTTGAGAGAGAGGCTTTCGTTTTGTGTTCCTCTTTAGGAATTCTAGCTGACCAGTGCGGGAACGATTTTTTTTTTGCCTGAACTCTGACTGTGGTACAGTGGTACCTCGGGTTAAGAATTTAATTCATTCTGGATGTCCGTTCTTAACCTGAAACTGTTCTTAACCTGAGGTACCACTATAGTTAATGGGGCCTCCCGCTGCTGCCATGCCGCCACCGCACAATTTCTGTTCTCATCCTGAAGCAAAGTTCTTAACCCCAGGTACTATTTCTGGGTTAGCAGAGTCTGTAACCTGAAGCGTCTGCTCACATCTGTATCATACTTTATACTACAGTGGTACCTCTGGTTATGAACTTAATTCGTTCCGGTGGTCCATTATTAACCTGAAACCATTCTTAACCTGAGGTACCAATTTAGCTAATGGGGCCTCCCATTGCCGCCGCGCCGCTGCCACGTGATTTCTGTTCTCATCCTGAGGTAGAGTTCTTAACCCAAGGTACTACTTCTGGGTTAGCGGAGTCTGTAACCCAAAGTGTTTGTAACCTGAGGTGTTTGTAACCCGAAGTACCACTGTAATCTGTACAGGTAAACTGTACAGTACCTTTCTTGCAATCTCCTCCTTATCCTTCTGATAAGTATCTACAGGGGAACTCCCAAGCACTTTGTATCCGAGCCAGCCCTGATGTCTTTCTAGTATAAGAAAGAACAAGGGATATTTGGATGACATTTCTACTTCACTTCTGGCACTCTGAAGAACTCTTTTTAGCTGAAAACTATCTCTTAATATTTTTGCTTAGAATTGAATCTAGACCACTAGCCTGTCAAGGAGGTCTGGCACTTGCATCTGACATTTTTGTGTTACAAAGACACATGTTGTGTCTTCAGCAAAGTGAGTTGTTTGCCACACTCGTTAAAACTAATTAGTGACAGTTTTAAGGATTATATGTTGCCTGTTCTAATACATGCTGCCTTGTGGCTTTCTTGGTTCAGTATTTAGTCACATGTTCCAGTCAAATTGTGGTTGTATAAAAACGGCAGATTCATCAATTAAACTCAAAGTTGTGCACATAAATTATAACTGGCAGTTACATTAATATAAGTTGTTTATATATTGGATAAAACAAATTTCAAACTACTTTACAGAAATGTATTCGCAAATGCTTTACAGATGTTGGTGGTTTGGGGCTCTGTTCTTTCCACTGAATGTTCCAAAATCTTTCCCTCATAGAATTGTAGATTGGGAAGGGACCACAAGGATCATCTAGTCCAACCCCCTGCAGTGCTGGAATCTTTTGCCCAACATGGGGCTCGAACCCACAACCCTGAAATTAGGAGTCATGGCTTGCTTGATATACACTCTGTCCTTGGTGCAATCATTCTTCTTGCTGCGTTTGAGGACTGAAACTTGCATGGAAGTTTGTACTCGGTAGTGGCACCCAAGCATACACACCCCATCAGATATAAAGAGTGCTTATGTATGAAATGGACACTTTCTCTTTAAAATAGGTTTAAGCAGAGGCTCCTTTCCCAGTCATCAAGAACATGAATTTTGGAATGTGCACATATTGTTGTTTGTTTATTGTGACCATTTATAGTCTGCTGTTTATTCAAAGGTCCCAGTGTGGAACATACATAAATACAGTGGTGCCCCGCAAGACGAATGCCTCGCAAGACGAAAAACTCGCTAAACGAAAGGGTTTTCCGTTTTTTGAGTTGTTCCGCAAGACGAATTTCCCTATGGGCTTGCTTCGCAAGACGAAACGTCTTGCGAGTTCTTGCGAGTTTGTTTCCTTTTTCTTAAAGCCGCTAAGCCGTTAATAGCCGCTAAGCCGCTAATAGCCGCTAAGCCGCTAATAGCCGTGCTTCGCAAGACGAAAAAAACGCAAGACGAAGAGACTCATGGAACGGATTAATTTCGTCTTGCGAGGCACCACTGTATTTAAAACCAGAAATTAACAATATAAAGCCTTGCAAAATACAACGTCAGTACAATTCGCAACATTATTTATTTATTGGTTAAATTTGTATCCCACCCTTGCTCCCAATAGGGCCCAAGGTAACACCTGTAGTGTAAACTTTGATACTGGCAATGGAGGTAGAAAACATCGCCTAGGGAAGCAACTTTTTTCCTTTCTCATATATTGCAGTATACCTGCACTGTTGCAATTAAAATTTCCCCAGGAAATCACCTATCCATGCCTGCAGCCATCTCAATTCATGTCTTTATTTGACCCTTTCAGGTATTTAAGAAAGTGAAAACAAAACCAGGATGTTTGCAAAAGCAACGAAGAATTTTGTGAGAGAAATTGACTGTGGAGGAGACTTGATCCCCGTATCTCAGCTCAATAACTTGGACAAATTACAGTTCCTGAACATAGTGACAAAGAAGAAGAAAACCTGGTGCTGGCAGAAACCCAAGTATCACCTCTTATCAGTCACATTGAATGATGTGCTTGCTAAAGATGAACCCATAAAACCAGGTAAAATTAGTTACACGTTGCCACAGGAGATAAGAAAGTATAAAGTCCAAGCCGTTAATAAAAAAGTATTTCAAATCAGACTGCAGAAGATTTGCCCGCTTTAATTTTTGAAAACTTAAATATTCAGTTTCGTAAAGGCAGATGTTGCCATGTTAACACATTTTAACATGTCCTTTTAAAGTATATATAAGATACTAATAATTTTTCCAATGCAAACACAAGTGGAATTTTATTGCACTGATGTTCTTAAGTGGCTATCAGGCTTTTCTGTATTTCAGATACACATCCTCAAGCTGGTAACTTTCAGAGGAGTAAGTCTGTTTCAGAAGAAAAACCCACAGCATTTTTATATGTTTATTTTATTTATTGATAAAAATATGTATATACCACTAACTTTATAGAAAACATACCACTAACTTTATAGAAAACATGTACAGCAAATATAAAACCCACAGGAAACACAAGAAAAATGGGAAAGCAAAAAAATTACAAGGAAATGGCCAATCACATAATATTCATCCAACTGAAAAGTCTTGTTGACACACACAAATAATACTAAATGTAATACTGATGGCACTTCGCTCCCAATGTTTCCATATATTAAATAACATTGGGGGTAGCAGAGTCTTGTGACACCTCGCAGACATATAAGATTTATTGTGATGCAAGTTTCTGTGAGATATAGTCCACTTCATCATCAGGTGCAGTCAGGATGAAGCAACTTTAGCAGAACATAGAATCGTAGAATTAAAGCATTCTGTGATTTCTGCTTGTGTTTCCTACCTAATGTTTTGATGGCTAAGCTACTTCTATGTTTTTGCTTGTTTTCCAAGTGGTTGTGGAGTCTGATTTTGTGAAGTACGAGGGGAAGTTTGAAGACTATGTCAAAGGAAACATTGAAACTTCATTTGGGACGATTAATCTAGGAGCTGGAGGAAGAGGTGTTGTGGAAAGCCAGTCGTCATTTGGAAATCTGAAAAAGCAAGAAGCTGACTTACAGAAGCTTATGAAGGATGTCAAGGGAAAGTAGGTATTCAGCTTCAAAGCTGGTATCCTTGTGAAGTTTTTTTTTTTAATGCACTTAATATTAAGGCAGTGTAGCTGAAGGTGCAATATTTCCATCGTACTTTCCAAAATTGTGATATTTTTTTTTATATAATAAGTATGTATTTGTTATGAAACAATCTGCATACTTAAAATCAGAATTAACTGACTTTGCAATATGTTTGCCATTTTGCCCTGATGGAAGCTCTCAAGGTAAGCTATTTTTTTTTTTAATGTCCATAACTTCTAAGGGGTAATTATTATTATTTCAGGACACATTTAATGTGTGATGTTCTGTTGTGTTGTTGTTGGGTTTCTGTACATCAGAGATTTCCAAAATTCTTGTTGTGACATGTTAGAGTGTTGGCTGTAGTGTGTAGGTGCGTTGCACGAATGCTCTCCGCACTCCTCCCGGGGCTGGGAAGGGGTTAGTTTAACCTCCAGTTTGCTAGTAAAACTGACTATGTCATGAAATGATGCATGTCTAAAAAGTGTGACACCAACATGGAAAGTTTGGAAAGCTCTGCTGTATATTATGTTGGAAGCTGTGCAGAGTGGCTGAGGCAACCCAGTCAGATGGGTGGGATACAAAAAAAATATTTTCATTAGCTGAGTTAGTCTGTTATGGCAAAGGCAACAAAGGGTCTTCTAGCACATAAAACCTTAAAAACCCAAAAACCTTATGCCGTCACAATTACGGTAGCATGATCGTTGGTGCCTTTACTGATCTTTCCATAATTGCAGTGAGCTAAGTAACCACCCAACTGGGTGCGGCTTTTAAATGGTTTTTAATTGAGGAAGATACAGAACAAGGTACTGCCACAACCTGGAAAGCTGTTGGGCCAAACTGAAGCTTTATAGCTTTGTAAGCATGCCTGAAATTAATCCACTGGAAAGCTGTATTTTGAATTGGATTAATAGACGAACTAACATGGGGCTCTGCTTGGTGGAATGTGACAGAGGATTAGATTAGTGTGTGCTGGTCTAGTTAGCTCCCTTCCAAGGGGATAAAACTTGGCTTTATACAATTGCAGGCGGTGATTTGGGTAGAGGGAATGAGGTGGTGGTTTATTGCTCCAGCACGCCGAGGAGAGACAAGAAAAAAGATCCAGAGTTCAAACCCCTTTGCAATTTCATAACTATATGCTATGGGGATTTTTTTCACCAAAACAATAATTCTTCCCACCCCCAACTCCTTTGTGTATACTTGTGCTACTCCTGATCAACATCTGTAGAAACCTACTGCTTCCTATGGAATTGAATAGCCCTAGAATGAATTATCCTTGGTGCTGATTAATCATATAGACTTATTTACTGATGTATGTCAGTTACCGTATTTTTCGCATGATTGGACGCACCGGACCATAGGACGCACCTAGTTTTTTGGGGGGGAAATAAAGGAAAAATTTTTCCCTTTATTCCCCCCCCAAAAGCAGGTCAGGGAAACCGAACCAGGTCGAGGAACAGCGGGATAGTGGCGCTGCGCCTCCCTGCTGTCCCCCGAGCTTGTGGGGCTGGCTGATGTCTGCCTGGCGCGCGGGGCGCAGGGCGCTCTGCTTCAGGGCGCCCCACCCGCCAGGCAGCAGGCTGCCACCCGCAGCGTGGGGAGCCCTGCGGAGAGCTCCTGCAAGCCTCCCCACGCTGCGGATGTGTTCCGGAAGCGCCAGGCGCTCTGCTTTCAGGGCGCCCGACACTCCGGGAAGCAGGCTGCTATCCGCAGCGTGGGGAGCCCTGTGGGGAACTCCTGCAAGCCTCCCCACGCTGCGGATGTGTTCCCGAAGCGCCTGGAGCTCTGCTTTCAGGGCGCCCGACGCTCCGGGAAGCAGGCTGCTATCTGCAGCCTAGACACGGCTAGCAGAGCGCTAATCCCGAAGCTTGGGGCGTGCGGAGATCGCACGCCCCAAGCTTCGGGATTAGCGCAGCGGTCTGCTAGCCGTGGGAGAGCCGCGCGACGTCGCGGGGCTCTCCCAGGGCTAGCAGAGACCTTGCCAGCACCCAGAAGCTTGGGGCGCGCTGAGCTCCACACGCCCCAAGCTTCGGGATTAGCGCAGTGGTCCGCTAGCCGTGGGAGAGCCGTGCGACGTCGCGGGGCTCTCCCAGGGCTAGCGGAGACCTTGCCGGCACCCAGAAGCTTGGGGCGCGCTGAGCTCGCACGCCCCAAGCTTCGGGATTAGCGCAGTGGTCCGCTAGCCGTGGGAGAGCCGTGCGACGTCGCGGGGCTCTCCCAGGGCTAGCGGAGACCTTGCCGGCACCCAGAAGCTTGGGGTGGGCGCGCTGAGCTCGCACGCCCCAAGCTTCGGGATTAGCGCAGTGGTCCGCTAGCCGTGGGAGAGCCGTGCGAAGTCGCGGGGCTCTCCCAGGGCTAGCGGAGACCTTGCCGGCGCCCAGAAGCTTGGGGCGCGCTGAGCTCGCACGCCCCAAGCTTCGGGATTAGCGCAGTGGTCCGCTAGCCGTGGGAGAGCCGTGCGACGTCGCGGGGCTCTCCCAGGGCTAGCGGAGACCTTGCCGGCACCCAGAAGCTTGGGGCGCGCTGAGCTCCACACACCCCAAGCTTCGGGATTAGTGCAGTGGTCCGCTAGCCGTGGGAGAGCCGTGCGACGTCGCGGGGCTCTCCCAGGGCTAGCGGAGACCTTGCCGGCGCCCAGAAGCTTGGGGCGCGCTGAGCTCGCACGCCCCAAGCTTCGGGATTAGCGCAGCGGTCCGCTAGCCGTGGGAGAGCCGCGCGACGTCGCGGGGCTCTCCCAGGGCTAGCGGAGACCTTGCCAGCACCCAGAAGCTTGGGGCGCGCTGAGCTCCCCACGCCCCAAGCTTCGGGATTAGCGCAGCGGTCCGCTAGCCCTGGGAGAGCCACACGACGTCGCGGGGCTCTCCCAGGGCTAGCGGAGACCCTGCTTGCACCCAGAAGCTTGGGGCGCGCTGAGCTCCGCACGCCCCAAGCTTTGGGATTAATGCAGCGCTCCGCTAGCCGTGGGAGAGCTGGGTCTCCCACGGCTAGCGGATAGCTTCCTGAAGCCTGAAGAGCGAGAGGGGTCGACCCCTCTCACTCTCCAGGCTTCAGCGAAAGCCTGCATTCGCTCCATAGGACGCACACACATTTTCCCTTGCTTTTTAGGAGGGAAAAAGTGCGTCCTATGGTGCGAAAAATACGGTAGGTGAATTCAAGAGGGGATAGGTAGAGTGTATACTATAGACAGCATCTTAAAAAGCAGAGACATCACTTTGCCAACAAAAGTCCGTATAGTTAAAGCTATGGCTTTCCCAATAGTGATGTATGGAAGTGAGAACTGGACCATAAAGAAGGCTGGTCGCCGGAGAATTGATGCTTTTGAATTATGGTGCTGGAGGAAACTCCTGAGAGTCCCATGGACTGCAAGAAGATCAAACGTATCCATTCTTAAGGAAATCAGCCCTGAAGGACAGATTCTGAAGCTGAGGCTCCAATATTTTGGCCACCTCATGAAAAGAGAAGACTCCCTGGAAAAGACCCTGATGTTGGGAAAGATGGAGGGCACAAGGAGAAGGGGACGACAGAGGACGAGATGGTTGGACAGTGTTCTCGAAGCTACCAGCATGAGTTTGACCAAACTGCGGGAGGCAGTGGAAGACAGGAGTGCCTGGCGTGCTCTGGTCCATGGGGTCACGAAGAGTCAGACACAACTAAACGAGTAAACAAAAACAACAAAATACTATAGATTATAAATAGTATTTATACAACCTTTAAGAAGAGAGACAACAGCAACGTGTTTGGGTTCCTATGCAGAGAATGCCTATTTGGAATCGCACAGGGCAGGGCAGTAGCTAGCAACAACAACAACAACAAAAGTGGGTAGTGAAAGGACTGAGTACTAGGTCCTGCTTCTCACCTGTGTAAACAACCCTTCTGCTTCAAATACAACCTCCTTAAGTGGCTTTTCCTTGGAGGACCATCTGGGATTTGTTAGAAATGTTTGCATGTAACATCTAGTTCAGGTATTGAGTCTCCTTGAAACAGAGGAAGGAGCAAGAACTTTTGCACTTAACTGTGCAGAAGAATGAATATCTCCTTAATTGCTATCCTCCTAGATTTACCTGTTAATTGATATTAGGATGCATTTTCTAGGCACTGTAATAGCTAGCTTGTAAAAGCTTGCTGCAATTGACGTTATTAGCTTAACAGTGTGCCATTAACAGGTTTCTTTGACTATAATGAATCCTGCTCTCTGGAGATTATTAAGGAAGTCTACAATCTTCTTTGGGGAAATATTTTTTCCCATTCTCTTGGCACATTGGGACATGATTACCTATTAATACCATTAGATTTTTGAAAGGATTGCCTGCTCCCACACAAACCAGCCTTGTTGAGACTTTCATTGGAGGTTCCTCTTGTGAATGCCCCTGCTTGCTCACGTGACGTGGCTGGCTGCCAGGCATAAGGTGATGCCCCAGCTATGGAATTGCATCCTCAGATTGATTTACCAGACACTGACAAACTAGCAAGGAACATCTGCTTGCAAAACTCTTGTTTGTGCCTCTCTGGTTTGCAATTTGCCACCAAAGAATGAACACTTTATCAGCCTCTTACAGATCAGTGCTCTGCACGTAGTTCATGGGTTGTCAACCTGGTCCCTACCGACCACTAGTGGGCTTTTCAGGATTCTAGGTGGGTGGTAGGGAATTCTACAACACAAGGTGAATCCTCCTTCCATCGAGCACTGATGGGCAGCAAGGAGATTTTTACCATCAAGAAAGATGCATTAGTGGGTGGTAGGTATAAAAATTGTGACTACCCCTGGTGTAGTTAATAAAGATACTTTTTTTTCTGGGTAGCCATTTTTGTCTGTTTCATACTCCTTCCTCAGGGCTGTTAATCTGCACAATACATTGCTGCAACAAATGCTTGAAAGAAAGCATGAAGTTCTTTGTATCCTGACGAAAAGAATAGTAACAACCCAGAAATGTTTAATATCTGAACATATTCAGACAGAAGAAAAAATGGCTAGTATGGTGGGCATAAAGACAAAAGTTATCAAGGTAAGAACTGGAAAAAAAATGAATGCAGTTCATTATAGATACGTACTGTTGAATTGCACCTCACACACATTTAACTTGAGTGATTTTAGCTTTACGTACTTGGCGGCTGGCCAGCTGAAATCGCACAAAATAAATGCACGCAGGGCAGAGAGCTGAAGAACTCTCAGAATGGCTTGCCAGGCTTTGGGAAGCTCTGGTGTGGACTCTGGGAGGCTGTCACAAGATCTCGGATAGCCCTGCAAGATCTGGCGAAAAACCTCCCCAGAGCCCAGTAAGCAAGGCGGAAAGCACCTTGCGTGGGGCAAGATCTGCTCGGCGCACCAACTTCAAAAAGGTAGGGATGCTTGCACGGGATACATTCCAGGGTTGTTTTGACTATACACGATTTTGGCTTTATGCACGATCCCCGGAACATAACCCTTGCATAAGTTGCAGTTTGACTGTGTTTTCCTAAAGTAAACTGACATGTTCCATTTAGCGTTTTAAGATTATCTGTGCTGTTCTAGGCCCCTCTAGCTTTCCTGCTTCTGAACAGTCCTCTGCACAAGTATGCAGCGATTCCACATGCCGAGGTGCAGCTCTGTGGGACATTCTCCTACGGAAGCTCAGTTGCAAGGAAAGCTTTGCAATAATACATTCCTTTAATTTCCTCGTTTCATTTCAGCACATGCTGGGGAAGCTGCTTATGGATTGTCCCCTAAGTCTAATCAGGGGTGGGGAAAACCTTTGGCCCTCCAGATTCTTTTGGACCACTACCCACCACCATCTGTAACCTTGGGTCCCGATGGCTGGGACTGGGGGAGCTGGAGTCCAACAACATCCAAGGAAGCCACAGGTTCCACATCCCATGTCTGCTTACTAAAAATTACATGGCTACTAAAGTTCTGTATACATGTTTGTGCCTGCCCAACCCCCCAGCCCCACGACTTTCTGCTGGCAGGTGTTTAAGAATATTGGTGCCTGTGAAAAGAAAAAAACCATTTCCCTATGGCAGGATTACTCTAGAGCAGGGCTAGCTGGGGTGCCTTTGGGCAAGATACCTTCAACAGGCTCCACTCTCTGCACCCATCTCCACCTTGCCACTGCCATTTGCTTTGCCCTCTCCTTCTGGGTGCAATGTGCATGACCACCCAGAGGGAGAGTGCAAAGCAAGCGGAGAGCATTGCTTTATTCTCGCCCTGCTCAGGGAAGGGAGGCAGCCAAAGAAAAGAAGAGGAGCAGAAGGGCCACGAAGCTCAGGAAGTCAGTAGCTGGTCTCTTACAAAGCTTTGTACCCAGATGCTCAGTAATGCTGGCCTCTGATCTGCTCCAGATTAAGATTTCGAGACTGCTCTTTTAAAAGAGTGAACCCTGAGTGATCTGAGGGACGTTTGTCAGGATGGTTTTCCTAAACGTGTACTTAATCTTCTCAGTGTGGAAATATTCCTGTCCAGGTTGGAAGCTATATATCAGCATAGAGGTGCTTTGCCAAGCCTATGTCACAAACTCAGGCTAACAATATAAAACACTTGCATTGGACTGAAGTCCTATTAAGTCTACTGCTCTGGTCAGCAGTGTAGAAGCTCACAAGCAGTGCTACAGAGATGGTCCCACATGGCTGTGTCTCTGGTACCCTGGTAAGCAGAAAGTTATATACTGCCTCTATTGCTGGACGATCAATATATAGCCATGGAGGATCATTCTTATGGTAGACCTGTGGGCAATTCCCATAATGGTTTAAAAACCAATTTAAGCTGTTTGGGCACAGCCAACTAGCAGAGGTTGGTATATTAGGAGAAACAGGGCACTGTCCTGCCAAACTCAGCTTGCCCTCTGCCATTCCTCATCTGCCTATCCTCTTTCTTCTGCATCAGGCAGAAGTTCTGCCTGTCCTTAACACTGGTTTCACCTAAGACTTCTCTAGTGGATACCAGCAACTACGGTACTTGTGGTCAACCTTGTGGAAACAAATTCTGTAACGTCTGCACCCTGTGAAAAAGAACTCTTTTTTGTTTTCCGTTTCATCAACTTGTGTAACTGGCTTAGAAAGGATGGAGAGAGCCTTTTTTGTGGTTGTTGTTGTTTTGTAGTGCTGCATAACTAAGTATGTTGTTTATCTTGACGTTCATTTTGTCTGCAAGTTATTACTGGCACTGAATTAAGCCAGTGTAAATTAAAGAGTGGATTAATATCTCCCTCAGGTATCAGTGAGTGAAAATGGGAATGTGATAAAGGATTCTAATGTGATCTTGGAGATCCCTGCTCCCACAGCTATTGCTTATGGTGTAATAGAACTTTATGTAAAGCGTGACGGACAATTTGGTAAGTAATATGTTCATCTTCTTCCCTTGAGCAGCATTACCAAGCTCTGTAGCCTGATGAGTGATGCATTTTTGCTAGGATTAGGACATGATACAGTCAATCAAGTGGTTCACTGTCCGATAACTTTTGAATAGAGTTAGAGGGGAGAAACAATACAAGGATTTGGAAGTGTACACAGATGCTTAAAGCCATTCTTGCCTTTGCTGAATTTGAAAATGCACTTTTACATTTAAGAGGGCCTCTGTCCACAGTGTGTTGTCTTGGGTGTATTACAAAAGAGTCTGTTATCGTAAATGAGCAAACGTATTAGTGACACAAGTCTTCCTCCTCAGCAGATCCATCTGTCAGAGTCGGTCTTGTTCTTTTGCTAACTCATTCAGCTGCTATAATCCATTGTTGCTCATACACCATCTGCTTTTACAGTAGAGCTTCTCCTAGCCTTTTTTCCCAATCATTCCCCTCCTGCTGAACCTCTATAGTACTTCATAAGCACCCTGCAGGGTTTTGTATATTTTTTGGTGGAAGTTTCAGCAATTTATGGATGTGCAACACAAAAATGGAAGCAGAGAAAACTTCTTCCACTCTGTTCACTGCCTCTGCCTCCCAAACCTCCCACGGGACTCAAAGCATCAGGCAGGATACAGTTAAAGGAGTTCTTGAAAGGGAAATTCACACCTTTGCAGTCGACATCATCCAGTGAGGGTTGCCTTATTTGACCTGCAAAGGATGATCTGACTAGTGCAGGGGAACCAATTTGTCAAATAGGTAGGACCACCCGTCTGTCAATCAACTGACATCATAATGGTCAGGGGAGGCCCAAGACATTTGGGTATCTGAGGCAGACCCCAGAATGGCGTTCTCCCTATCAGGGAAGATCTACATCAGGAACAATGGGAGGAGAAGGAAGATCAACCCTGCCACCTTGCCCCATGGGTGGGCTGGCTCTCATAATGGTGTCAGGTGGTTTGGCACTTTGACGTTCCAAAGTCAGGACTTTGAAGCACCTTGCATGCCTCAAGGTGTGGCTATAACGAAGGTCTTTCTATTCATTTTAGCTGCTGCTGCTGTGCTGATACAAGGAAGGAAAATGCTATTTTACTTTACTGCTTGTGAAGGTGCTTGAAGCCCCAACTTGAGGACTTCACAGCACATTCAAACTGAGCAGGATTCAGGACGGGGGTTGCGTTGAAACCACTTCTTGAAACAAAGGGGAGCACTTCATTTTAGCAGAGGTTTCTATCCTACTTAACACTGGGTTCACCTGAACAATGCAGGATTGACCTCCCTCGCCAATTCTGCTTTGTACAATGCTTTAGTAGCTCCCAACAACTAAGTGGTGGTTGGGCACTTCAGAAGTTGCCCAAGGGGGCTTTGTAGGTATAGGATGGGTGAGTAGGTGTGGCTTGCCCCAAATGGCTTTGTGGGCAGGCAAAGTTTGGCCTGTGGGCAAGATGTTCCCCATCCCTGAACCAGTGAGAGGAATCAAAGGCTTCCTCATTACGCCCCTCCAGAGTTGGTGACCTGCAGTGCCTCAGACTTATATGTGTCCATGTCGGAATTGGTGTTTGAAGGACCTGATGTCTGAATTGACCCTTGCCTGCTGGGTATCTAGTATGCAGTGGATTCAGACAGAATTTCTTTTCTACCATTTATGATCCTCTTCCACTTGCTCATCCTCCTCAGCAATGCAAGAGTATCATATCGGCTTGCCTAGAACTCATTTGATGTTGGCAAAAGGCCAGTGAAAAGATCCATCTGAGGGGCAGAGAAAACTTCTTCCACTCTGTTCACTGCCTCTGCCTCCCAAACCTCCCACGGGACTCAAAGCATCAGGCAGGATACAGTTATCCTTCAAGCACCTCATTTGTTTGCAGTGTTCATGGGTGGTAGCATATGAGGTTTTTTGGCTGATATAAGAGAACGGGGCAGATATTGTTGCTGTGGTTGTCAAGATATCCTGGTTCATCTCCACATATCAATTTTTAACACTATGGATATAATTTGATAGAGTGCTTGTGTGTATGCACAGATCTTAAGATGACAACTAAGCATGAACATTAATGATAAAATATAAACATTCCAGCCTCTGTATCTTCTCCCTGTTGGAATGGTTTGTTTGATCGAGGTAACAAGTGCAACACCCTTGGGTTTATTAACTTCTGTCCTCTTCGTTGCTGCCCTGCCCTTTTTTGTATTTGGTGATCTTATCTCTCAGGCGTCATATAAGATGGATGTCTCCACTATCTCAGGGCATTTTTTTAATGTTTTATTATGTTTTTATGTGGCGTCTGCTACAGAACAAGAGTCCACAACCCTATCTAATGGGGGATGCCCAGTGAACGAAGTGTGTCACCAAGCAAACCATATTTCCTCTAATACCCAGTTAGTCACTCCTCCCACAGGAGCTAGTGAAATAAGTATGTCAGCATGGGAACGTAGATGCTGCAAGGCAAGCTGTTTCCACTATTCAGGAAGAATACGCTATAGCAGAAGGGCGTTCCTGATCTCTTTCCTTGGTGCCAAGCAACTTGAGCAAAGAATAACTCCCTTCAAATTGGGCCCATAAAAGTTTTATTGACTTGTGTAGTAAAGTTTTATGGCAGCAAATCACAAGGGATTATTGCATGCATGATGCTCGATCAGTTTTCCGTATTCTGTTTCTTCCCATTGAATTGCAAAAAGGACCAAGTCTCAAGTTCTGGATTAGCACCATCTGTACCCTTGGTATATAATCTCCTTTATACTGTTGCAATGCTCTTGGAATACTTATTCTGTTTGCTGTATTTAAGTAAGTTTGCCTCTCTGTAGCCCTGCCCATTAAGATGTCCTCCAAATGGCCAGAATGGGTATGAACACAGTCTCTGCTCACGTACGGTCCCCATCTCAGATTCTTGCTCACTTTGCATCCACAGTGAACCTCTGGTTGCAAATTGATATATCGAAGTGGGGTAGAAGTAAATCCTTGCCACATAATTTCAGGATAGCTCACATCTGCTCACAAGGGGGTGCTTTGCTTTATGCTTCTGTGTTTTCCTTAATTTCCAATGCTCTTTCTGGGAATGCATCTGGTAGTATTGGTAGCACATGTGGCTCTTGAGTGCTTTATAACTCTTAGCAAACCACAGCCCATATTGCTTTGTGGCTTTGCCAGCATGGAATACACAGTGCCTTTTTGCCAGCTAGAATTAGGGAATTGTAATCATGCAAATAGGCTTTAGGAAGAGTGGGAAGGGGAGTGCTCTAACAGCCACTGATATCACATACAGTGGTACCTCGGGTTACATATGCTTCAGGTTACATACGCTTCAGGTTACAGACTCTGCTAACCAAGAAATGGTGCTTCAGGATGAGAACAGAAATTGTGCGCAAGCAGCAGCGGGAGGCCCCATTAGCTAAAGTGGTGATTCAGGTTAAGAACAGTTTCAGGTTAAGTATGGACCTCTGGAACGAATTAAGTACTTAACCTGAGGTACCACTGTAGCTGTGAAGCTTGGACAGTTGACCAGCTATGATATGGCTTGTCCACATTAATATTTGGGGGGAGGTCCTTTGGCTGTATGTACAGTATACATTTAAAGCACATTTCGTTTTCGTCCCTAAAAAAAAGAATATTGGGAACTGTGGTTTGTTAAAGGTCCTGGAAACTGTAGCTCTGTGAGAGGTAAATTGCAGTTCCCAGAATTCTTGGGTAGGCAATAAGTTTTAAATTTGCTTTTCGTATGGTGCAGATCTGGATCTCAGGTCCAGATGCCACTTACTCCTGGCTGCTTCCTATCTGGCTTAAGAAGATATCTTTTCCTCCTGCCTGATCCTGGAGTTCAGAAGGATAACGCAGGCTTCCAGACAGACTTACTCACTTGGGACATTATTAGATAAGATTGCCCTGGGAACAGAAGTTAATTCAATAGTGTTACCAATATCTCTTCTTTCCAGTGTTCGCAGCCAGCTCTTATTAGCTTTAACAGAGGCACGGGGAGCGCCATGGCAGAGTCTCATTGCTCTTGGGAATAGCTTTAATTTGTATTGCTCTCTCCCCCCCCCCCATCTTGCCGTGTTGCTTGCATGGGTCTCAAAGGGTTTTTAATATGCCAACAGCTCCACAAACAATTGCTTCCTCCATCTCATTCTCCAGCGCAGAGGTTTGCGTGGCGGCGGCCTTTTTATCTTTATTGGAAATGCTTCCTTCCTGGTGCTCTGTTTGTATTTTCCTTTTTATACACGTCCTCAATTCAGCAAGAAGGGATATGGATGTGGAACAGTTATATTTAAATTCCGAATATGGGCTGTGAAGTTGACAGTTAGCGTTGCTCCTCCCGTCTCACATTTATCCTTAAGTCGGCTGTTCTCTTCATGCAGATTTCATTACAGTTTTGCAAGAGTGCTGGGGAAAGTGAAATCTCTTTCATTTTCTCATAGATCCGTTTCTCAAAACATCCATGTTGTTAACTCTGGCTCTGATGAGAATTTGTTTTCTACGCAATTGACATGGAATCAGTTACCTAGATGAATGATGGACTCTCCCTCACTAAGGGTCTTTAAACAGAGCCAGCGGAAAGCTATCATCTGTTGAGGGATCTTCTAGCTCTTGAGGTTTTTTTCAGAGGAAGAACTAGAGCAGTGATGGCCAAACTTGGCCCTCCAACTATTTTGGGGCTACAGTTCCCATCATCCCTGACCACTGGTCCTGTTAGCTAGGGATGATGGGAGTTGTAGTCCCAAAACAGCTGGAGGGCCAAGTTTGGCCATCACTGAAGTAGAGGGCCTCCAAAAACCACTCCCACTCTTTTAGAACGTTCCCATCCACACTACAAATCAAAAGAGCATGGCTTCCACCCCCAGAGAATCTTGGGAACTGTAGTTTGTTGAGGGTGCTGGGGCAAACTACAGGAATCTTTGGAAGAGGCAATGCGCTTTAAATGTATGGTGCAACTGCATCCAGAAACAAAGCATATAACATTATTTTAGTTTTTCCTTTTGCAAATGAGAGTGCTGCAATCTGACTGCTATATGTATTTTCTAAAAGCTTATAAAGCAGGGTGAATTGATGGTGATACTCAAAAGTGCTCACCCCCTCTCTCTCTCTGTCTCTCTCTTTCAAACAAGATCACACCTTGAATAGAAAGGGGCAGGTCGTTTAGCTGCTGCCTTTTCAAGATTCCATAAGAGTTCTCTGAAAAGTTAGGAAAAACCTCCTTGACTCAAAAGTCCTTTCCTGGCTGGGTTGTGTGTGGCCTGATGTCCACTAGGGGGAGTGGTGGAGCCAGATCCAAATCTAACCAGTTCCATCCTTTGTCAAAAGCAAATCTGCACATATTTCTGTGTGGGCCACGCAGAGCAAACTTAACCCAAAGGTGTGTAGTCAAGTAGCCCATCCTATGGGAATGGTACTTAACGATAGCAAGCCACACAACATTTAGGTTTTCATTCCACTCTCTTTCTGTAGAGATGGGACAAAGAGGGAGTATGAATCCTGAATCGCTAGGACTTAAGTTCCTTTGGGTGACAGCAGAAAAACCATAACGGTATTCATCCTAGTAGTTTGCTTCTATTAGCAAATGTGTATTTTGATGAACGGACAGCCGAGTAAATGGACAGTTAGATACAATCTCTTTCACATAACTGTGGGTCTCGTGGTGTGATGCGGTATTTACCGTAACATGACAGGGGGGAAATGTTTCTCATGACAACCTTCACTAGTTAAAAAAAATTAAACATGGTACTTGGATCCAATTCTCATTTATATCTTTGAGGAACTGTAAACTAAACATACCATGTTTTAGCAAACTTGCTAATTAGCTACGATTGTGTAGCCCTCCTTGCCAACCAGTTAAAGACTTGCTGGGCAGTAATTTAGCAGTTTTCTTTTTCTCTCTAAAAGTTCAGGTGCACAGGAAGAAAAGTTTAAATTGTGTGTGTGTTTGGCAGGCTAACATGTAATCAAAAGGCATCTGCTGGGAAATTTTTTTGTTGCTGTGTTTCCAAAGTATTTCTGGATAACTCAATCAAGCCCTTTCTGTTTGACAGAATTCTGCCTGCTACATGACCAAGAGGGTGGCTTTGAAAGGGAGAGCATGGAAGGAACGGCTTACCATTCTGCAGCTTTCCGATATCCTTTCTTCCCCCATCTTCTGGATGCTGTCGATAGCGAGAATCCACCAGGCCCTGTCCCCAGTGATGCCCCATTAAGTGTTTTGAGCAAAGGTAGGACTGAGCGGAAAGTGTTAAGAAGTACAAAAGAAAACCTGGCTCACATTAAGAACAAAATGGGAGATCAACCTGTTTTCAGTTTTAAATAGGTCTTCTGAAAAGCTCTTAGATATCAGGGTACACAAAGGAACGTTGGGATGTGTGGGGGAGAAGAGTGTTGGAGATAGTTTGCCAACCTGATTGCTGCAGCATAGAAAGAGGGGTTTGAAATTCCCCTCCCGGTCTGTATTTCCAGCTCTTGAACCTAAGAAATAGACAATTATATTGGCATTGCAGCAAACCTCACACCCAGCCCTTAGCCTGAGCAAGACAGTGTTGTGCAACTTACTGTTAAATGGAGAGGAAAACACTGGTGTCAGCTGCTGGTTCATAAAATTCTCATCCCTCCGAGCAGAAAAGGCCACATGCTCCACGTGTTGATATGTACAAAATAAAGAGGTGGTGTTTTGGATTTGGGCAAGGATATTTTTTGTTATCAATGAATTGAGAACCTCTCAATGGATTTGAGATTGGTGTTCACCATTGGATACATTTATACCACTCTTCCCCTCAAAGTACATATGTGGGTTTGCTTTGGATTCCCCCCCCCAAAAAAAATGGGAGGAGGAACAAATTATATCTTCCCCTTTGTCCACCTCCAAGTTGCTCTTTACAATTGCATCCATATTTCTGGAGCATTTTCTACACACACGTTTTTCAAGGTGTGGTTTCCTTTTACATAGCATGCTATTGGTCTATAGGCGCCTCTCCTGGACAACCATTACGGCATGTGAAGGTACCAAATGTCAAAATGTGGTGCTTTGGAACGTGTGCTTCCTGTTCTGCTTGGAAGGTAGATCATCCCTTGCCGTGAACTTAATTGCAAACTATTTTGGCTACGCTGTGCCCCTTCCAAACTGTTCCAAATTAATGTTTTAGGATGCACGCATGGAATAGCAATTTTTTGCAGAGCATTTGTTGCACAGCATGGAAACATTTTCTTAATTAAATTCCCCAGCAGAGGCTTACTTAGCACCTTGACCCTGCAGAACCTTGTTTTTGCTCAGGAAGCGCCGCCTTACTCGACAAAGCCATGAGAGAGGTAGATGCAGAAGCTGTAAATGAGGGTCAAATTGAGATTTAGGGCAGCGAAAATTGGTTGCTGGTGTGCGCTTGCTGTATCTTGCCCAATTAAGGACTAGTCAGACAAAGTTGTGACAAGAAAAAGAATTAGTTTGCAGGACAGGGGAGAGCAGGTTGCAGCTTGCTTTGCCTTACAGCTCTGAAGCTGCTTTTTCTGCTTCAGTAAAGCGCTTCCATAACACCTTTGCATAAGGCCTCTGAATGTGGTCTTTTCCCCAAGTTGGTCCAGAGCTATGATAAAAATCTGCCATTTTTCAATCAATGAAACAAAATAGGACTTTCTCTGGAACAGGTAAATTGATTGAAAAAAAGGAATCTCTTTGTATTGCTGAAATTGAAGTGATTTTTGTTGAAAGTCTCCCCACGACTGTTTTTTTTTGGTTTGCTGCTCTATGTGACTATTTCAAAGGCTTGTGGCTGCTTCTTGATTTCATTGGCTTACTCTAGCCAGTTCAAGCAACCCTTAAACGTATTTGCAACTGATCCAAATTTAGGCCTCATTTGCCATTCAATCCCAGGTTTTATTATCTGCTCTATAAATGAATAGTACATGAATGTACTATGGGTTTTTCTTTTTTACGGGCTGAGTGCATCCAGAAAAAGCATTTATGTTGCAGTTTGAGTTATGTTTGAGTTCCGGGCATTCACTTTGCTTCATACATTTTCTGCACATAAAAGCTTCCTCTTTCTAGAATTGCAGGTTTTTGTTTTTAAAAAAAGAAATCAGTTTTCAAAATAAATGCTGCATTTGTAGAATTGCCCCATAAACACCCTGATAAATCATAATGGAGTAAAACATGTACAGTATATTTATATAGATGTAGCATTTATTAAAATGAAACAAAAAACCAAGAAATAAGTGGTGCATTGGGTGAAAAAGGGCAAATTCAGCATTTTAAAAAAAGTTTCTGTTAATGAAGAAGAGGCACAACAATAATTAAAAACAGATATGCTGTTTTTTAAAAAAGTGAGAACCTGGGGCCCTCCAGATGTTGTTGAACTCCAAATCCCATCAGGTCCAGCCAGCATGGCCAATGGGAGTTGAAGTCCAACTTCTGGAGCGGCACCGGTCCCCCGCACCCCTAAACCATTTGCAGAGTTTTACCTCTCTAGTGCAGTGCAAGCTTTCCTGCAACAAAACCCAGAAGTGGAGTGCAAAGTAGTTAACAAATGGAAGGCAAATTTGGCACCACGCTGTGATTTCTATCCCAGGAAAGATTGTATTATTATGCCTTGAAAACATATTTAGTAATGCTCTAATTCAGAAATGGAGATCTTGTCCCGTCATCCCCCAAACTGCAAGCCCCAGCCCCAGCTAGCATGGCCAATGGTCAGAAATGATGGGAGTTGCAGTCCAATAACATCTGGTGCTGCATCCCTGCTTTTAAAAATGTTTCCTTGAACTGGTAACCTTTGGTTGAGATGCTGTTGAAAGTGTTGCCCCTTCAAATCCCTTTTAGTGTGGTTTCTATCAGCATGTACTTGCTTAATGTGTGTCCCCTTTTGTCTCTGAAAGATGCCTTGCAGTTCAAGACCCATTTCCAGCCCTTCATGAAGCTAACGGAGGAAAAGCAGGGAACTTTATACCAACTACTCTGTGATTTTCTGCTTCAGGAAGAAATGGTGACTGAGCTGGAGGATGTGGTAATCTTTTTCTTTCTTTCCAAATACACAAACGTTCTCCTTTTTATTTATAAGCAATAATAGCTGATTTTCAAACCGCGCGCCCCCATGGGCTGATGTATTTCTGGTCCCATATTCAGCCCATCAACATTGTCTGTTCTTTACAGCTGGACCATATATGTACAGAAGACAAACCAGAACTCCTTGTAATGGTGGAGTCAAAGCCACCAGAGCAGAAAAACATAGAGGAGTTCTTACAGCTTGTTGGAATCCGTTTACGGAACAAACAGTTCCTGCAGAAGGACCCACTTTCCAACAAGGAGCTCCTCTTAGCGGCTCACATCCTCCTCAGTGCTATAGCAGGTACAGTAAGAAAAAAGAAATTAGCTGCTTGGTGGTTCTAGAACTGGGAAAGAAACACCCACCCTGAAAGACTTTGGAAAACGGACAACAGCTGTAGGCTAGATTGGGTCAATGGCCAAATTTTGTCTGAAGCAGTTGCCATTTCTTCCCTTCCGTGACATCATTTGTCTACTCTATTCCAACACCCTGCGATGAAGGAATATTTCGCCCAACGTGGGGCTTGAACCCTCAACCCTGAGATTAAAGTCTCATGCTCTGCTGACTGAGCAATTTTGCTTTCTCCTGTGATAGAAACAGCATGCAGTCTTGAGCAGCAGCATTGTGAGTGCAAAGCTCAGTTGCCTGGTTCAAGAAGCCAGTTTGCTACATTCTGTGAAGTTGATGGCTGGTAAATTGAGGCTGGGAAGAGAGATGTTCGCTTCTGCTGGGAAACTTGTTAAGCTATTACTGGTTCCTGAAGAATAGCGATGTCTGTTCTGCTACTTGATTATTATTTTTTAGGATTATTTTTCTCATTGCCTCCCCCCTGTCCCCCAATTCTAGATTTCATGAGTTTACGTTGTTAAGGTTTCCATATAAGCTTGTTTCACTGATATGTACAAATTTTCAATTTCATCCTTCTGAAAGTTTCGGTTTGCCTCTTATTTCCTTGCTGCAGAACTGTCTGATTATGCGCTTGTCCTGCTTCGCGCCTGCTGCGAACTCCAGGTTGTCCCTGCTCTATGTTGCTTGGTAAGTCCTGCAATCGCAAGTGTGCAAAGTCACGATAGCAGCGTGGCTTTGCCCCTTGCATCATCCGCGGCTGGCATGGCCAGTAATCAAGGATGTTGACAATTGTCATCAGTAGCATGTGGATGGCCAGAGGCTGTGTCATTCCTGGCACATATGGCCCCACCCCCATTATAGCCTCACATGAGCCCTAGGATAGGCTGATACTGACTGACAAGGTCATCTAGTGAGTTTCCTGCCCGAGCGGGGATTTGAACTCAGGTGTGGGTTAAACCACAGAGCCTAGGACTGGCCGATCAGAAGGTTGGCAGTTCGAATCCCCACGAAGGGGTGAGCTCCAGTTGCTCGGTCCCTGCTCCTGCCCACCTAGCAGTTTGAAAGCATGTCAAAGTGCAAGTAGATAAATAGGTACCGCTCCAGCGGGAAGGTAAACGGCCTTTCCGTGTGCTGCTCTAGTTTGCCAGAAGCGGCTTAGTAATGCTGGCCACATGACCCGGAAGCTGTACGCCGGCTCCCTCGGCCAATAAAGCGAGATGAGCACTGCAACCCCAGATCGTCCACGACTGGACCTAACAGTCAGGGGTCCCTTTACCTTTACCCTTGTTCAGCACTCTCTCTAGACACTTCCTAAATATTTTAAGTTCACCCTCGCTACTGAAGGGGTTCACTTGAAACTTTGTTGTAAATGCCTCTTAACCTTTCTTTCTCTCTATCTATCTCTGAACAGCCTAACAGGACCTCAGCGGATGGCACGCTAACACTTGCAGATCCAGCGCTAGCTCCCCTTGCTGACACCCAAAGGTTTCAGATAGCACAAAGGCTGTTTGCTTTATCAAACATTAACCTTGAGATGACCGAGTCTTGCATAAAAGCTGTAACCATGAAGAAACCCAGATTTTCCCCAATCATTCTCTATATAGCATTGTATGGACTTCATGCATTAGGCTGTAAAACAGCTCAGGCTTGAAGCAGCGGCCTGGGTGGTTTAATAGGATAACTAACGGCAGTATTTAATATCTGTCATAATAGAGTTGGACCTGGCTGATTTGCATCATTACAATGGGAACATGGGCAAATTGGCTGTGCCACTGGAGCATGGCAGAAGTTGAAATAGAGTGTATAAATGAAAATACTGAAGAGCCATGCAACGGCGCTTCATCTGCAATGCACATATTAAAACACATCTTCAGTTTTTGTCTCCTCAGAGATTACTTCAGAAGCATTTATTTGTTCTATAAGCAGCCACTGCTTTGTTAGCGTTTGTATATACTAGAGCAGAGGTCTTCAGTGAGTTGGGACCAACTAGTGGGTCTCAGCCTGATCTACTGGCATTGCAAATATATGGTGAAAGAGTAAGAAAGGCGTCTCCAAATGCATGTTTCAGTTAAAAGTGGATCTTGGGTCTGAAAAGGTTGAAAATCCCTGTACTAGAGAGTTTTGTTATCCAAAACATCTTTGTGGAAGGAGTCATTTCAAATCTGACCCAATTCCCTTTCCTTGAGGAAGAGGTTGTAGCCACACATGCTTTGAGTGCAAAAATCTCTGACATCATGTAGGTGTTAGCTGAAATCTAGGGGTGCAAGGAGAAGTCTTTGCTAAGTGGGCATAGTATAAGGAAGCATTGTGTATTCATCCTGCTCATCTGGGTTCCACCCCTTCCTTTGAAACGGTTTAGACCTTTGGAAAAAGCAATCAGGTTTTGAAACATGCCCTATATTAACTGGGATGGCGTATTCAATGTTTTACTCAATAAAAGAGGGAATTCACTAGCATGGCTAATCTATACATTTCTGTCTGGCCCCTCTTTGCTTCCCCATTTTCTCAGCAAAGCAGTGATGTTCAGTGGTGACATTTACCCTACAAAATGATGTTCAGCAACATTCCGTCAGAGGCACTCAGGAAAGGGCTAGGAAAACTTGCGAGGCAACCCTTTTTCCAATATTAAATTTATTTCATATATACAAAAATACTTTATTAGGAGTTAACAGGATTTCACAGCTTTGTACATTTCAACAATTATACAGAACAACATATGCCTTTAGCGTGAAAACATTGAGGGTTTTTAAAAAAAGTTACTGTAGTTTAGCTGAGTAGCACTTAGCCTTGTTCTATGGAACTACTTTAGCAGTTAATCAATTTCCCCGTGGTCCATCAGAATAATCTACATTGATCAATGCACCAGACAATATTTTTCTGGGATTAGGCTATCAAGGGACATCTTACAATTCTTATCAACGAAAGTCCTCTTCGGGTGTAACTGCCCAGTGAGGCAACATGAACAGAATAAAGCTGCAAGGCTGTGCACTTAGCTCTGTCTCTCGACGCCATGCAAATCCTTCCAGCCCTTTGCACAATTCAAATAAACTTCTGCAGCGAGGAGCCTTGTTCGTTCCATTGAAGCTCCCCATGATACTGCAAACATTGACTTTCCTGGTTCTCAGTTGTATAGGAAGCCTCCAGGTAGGTTCAAGTCCACAGAAGTTTACTTAAACTACACACAGCCTTCCTCTACCAATGCTGTCTCTTAGGGCAATAAGGCCTGGAGAGGACTAAAGTCCAAGGTTTAATCAGATTGCACAAATAATACATATCAACTTCAGTGCACATACAGAAACCAAATAATAAGTGATAGATGCTTCATAAAAACCTAAAAAGTACCAGCAATCTAAATTATGAATTGTATAACCTTGACATAATTCAAAGTTTTGGAATCTATCCTTATAAAATACAAATAATAATAACAATAATGTACAGTTGTGTAGGACTTGAATATAAAAAATGCATGTTAGTGGCAGTTGATATGCTACGTTAGTTTGAATACTGATGCCTGTACAAAGGTTTGTTTTTCCTGATCAGTGCACTGCCCATTTGATAAAGCTTACCAATTTTCTAGTAGCATGTAAGAATGGCTATTTTAGGACAGCCTCAATGACACATTTCTCCTGTCTTTAAACTGAAAGAAGCAGGTTAAAATTAATTCATGGAAGACTGATCAAAGTTTTCTGCCACAGTGCTGCCAAAACAACAGATCCAACCTATGCCTCTTCAGTAGGGAAAATTAAGGGGAGATTACTCTCCTAGCTGCAATAAACTAGTTTGTCTACTACAGAAGCTGCACTATAGCATTCTACAGAATAAACCCATAGGAGGCAAAGCCCTTCAATACTTTTTTATAGATCTTTTAAATACAAAAAAAGCACTTACCGGTATAACTAGATTGTGGCCAACTGTTTTATCCTCTTCATAGCTGTTGTTTACTTAGTTTTTATAATGACAAAGTTCCTCTTTAGCAGCTATAGTCATAACACTGAACTGTAATTTAAAATGTAAGCCAAAGTAGTTTACAGCCAAGACAAAAACTTCTGATTTAAATTTGGGAAAATATTTAAAATTTGGTTCAATGATACCAAAACTGTGATTAACTTCTCCCAGCTAGACCACACAACTTTCTTACGGCTTATGGAATGCTGTACCTTGCTCCGAGGTTATAAAAAAATACTCAAGATCTCAAATCAGCAAGTTTCATACTATTTCATTACATCAACGAATTTTACTTGCGTCTAGTATCATTCCCAGGGTGAAAACCAATATGGACTTCCTAGTTGATACCCAACTCTGTGCACATTTGTGCCATTTGATCATCTTTCTCCCTTGCTCACAAGACTCCACTGGAGTTCTTGAAAGCAGCTGCCACTATCCTCCCAAAGATTCTACAGCCTATATAAAATACAGTACCCAAACCGACATATAGTTTCTTCTGCATCTGTAGACAGTATAAAAACAAAGCACTGAAACCCTGGATATACCACCGCATCTTCCTTTTGAGATTTCTAGTCCATACATTTCACTCAGACTTGATTTTATTTTATTTTATGAAGCCTTAAGTTGCTGGGTTTCCTTTCTTAAAAAGTTCCCAGGAAAAACTCATGCTTGGAAATCTGTGACCCCTAAAGCAAGATTTAGCAACCTTCCTGTAGTTTTCTCCAAGGTTAAATGGCTTCAGTTTATTCATAGATTTTCTAAAAAGAGAGTTCATTACAACTGTAGCAAAGTTGTTAGCACAAGACAAACAGGGCCTCACACTTAAGCAAAGGGATTTGTGTTTTTGGCATACACACCCAGTAAGTTCCCAGGTTCTGCATGGATGACAAAGAGATACATGTATCTCTAAGGCATCACTGCATGATGTGAAGCAGAAAGGAAACACTTGCTCACCAAAAACCCCTAGTCTCAATTTAACATGCCTTTTGCCCTGCCCTGGCTCTACTTCCACCCTTGTAGTTTACATTGCAGACTTATAGTCCATCACTAGATACCTTCTACTCCTTTTGTTACAGTATAATATGAAAACCCTAGGGACGCGGGTGGCGCTGTGGGTAAAAGCCTCAGCGCCTAGGGCTTGCCGATCGAAAGGTCGGTGGTTCGAATCCCCGCAGCGGGGTGCGCTCCCGTTGTTCGGTCCCAGCGCCTGCCAACCTAGCAGTTCGAAAGCACCCCCGGGTGCAAGTAGATAAATAGGGACCGCTTAGTAGCGGGAAGGTAAACGGCGTTTCCGTGTGCGGCTCTGGCTCGCCAGAGCAGCGATGTCACGCTGGCCACGTGACCCGGAAGTGTCTCTGGACAGCGCTGGCCCCCGGCCTCTTGAGTGAGATGGGCGCACAACCCTAGAGTCTGGCAAGACTGGCCCGTACGGGCAGGTGTACCTTTACCTTATATGAAAACGGCCCAGGCAATATATTTACAAATTACTTGATGAGAATATTTTAACACTATAGCAGCTCTGTTGTTCAAAAGATCAAGTAACCGGATACATACAAATAAGCCGTATATAAGCTAAACTTAACTTTGAGTAGCTCTGAATCAGCCTCATCCATATTGTCTGCAATCCTCAACATTTTGGTGTGAATTTTTCAAGTGAAAAAACTGCAAGCAAAATTCCAGTATTCTCATTCTAAGCTTATGTACAAGTATTAAACTCTGTATCGCTCAATGAACTGCATAGTACCCAAGGAATTCAAAATAAAATATTTTCTTTAAAAAAAATACAACCATATAAGTTGGCTTAAGATCTACAGTTCACTTTTAGAAGATTGCCAGATTTTTATCCCTCAATAAAAAGCTATCTCAAGAGACACTGAGCACATATTTCTTTGAAGGTGGGTAGTAAAATGACCAATGCACTTTTAAAGGTGTTCCATTTGTTTTCTATCAGACTTACCTACTACAGTGGTACCTCGCAAGACGAATGCCTCGCAAGACGGAAAACTCGCAAGACAAAAACGTCTTGCAAGTTTGTTTCCTTTTTCTTAAAACCGTTAATACAGTTGTGACTTGACTTCGAGGAGCAACTCATAGCATAGTGTGGTAGCCTTTTTTGAGGTTTTTGAAGACTTTGGTGATTTTTGAAGCTTTTCCAAAACCGTGCTTCGCAAGACGAAAAAATCACAAGACGAAAAAACTCGCGGAACAAATTAATTTCTTCTTGCGAGGCACCACTGTACTGTAGGACATTTCCACCCATCTTTCTAATTCCTGCTGAACAGTGTGACTTTAGACTATGTCCAATAGAGGCAGTGGGATAAACCAATGCTATTTTTATTGTATAGGTGGCACACAGCTAATCATGTGTTCAGTAAATGAGACAAAAAGCCTCATTGACAGCAAACAATTGTGTTTTGGCAGAAGTGACAAGTGGCTTCATTTGGTAATTAGAATGTACAGTGGTACCTCGGGTTAAGTACTTCATTCGTTCTGGAGGTCCGTTCTTAACCTGAAACTGTTCTTAACCTGAAGCACCACTTTAACTAATGGGGCCTCCTGCTGCCGCTGCGCCGCCGGAGCCCAATTTCTGTTCTTATCCTGAAGCACTATTTCTGGGTTAGCGGAGTGTGTAACCTGATGCGCATGTAACCTGAAGCGTATGTAACCCGAGGTAGCACTGTAGAGCACAACCATGTATGTATGTATCAGTTGAGTTCACTGGTGCTTACTCTCAGGTAATGGAAAATACATGTGAAGTTGCCTGCATTCTTCTCACTTTAGAAGGGAGGGAAGCAATTTTTTAAAAACCCCAGCTTGAGCCCCTAAAAGCACATAATGTAGCAAGTGCTCTTTCCAGTATCGTTTGGGGTCATTATGCACTGGAAACTGCAGAGGCAAATGGCCATCTGCCTTGGACTATAGCTACACTGGCAACAGTTCTCTGAGAGTTCAGACAAAAGTCTTTCCAGGACTACCTGGAGGTGCCAGGGACTGAACCTGGTACATTTGCATGCAAAGCAGATTCTCAGCCAATGAGCTGTGGCCCCTCTCTTTAAAAAGCCTTGATACAACAACAGTACAATACTGAGCACATCGCCATGGCACTGTCCTCAGCAGAAGGACCGGCATTTTGGCTGCTGTTATCTGCCTCTCCCCTCCAAACGTATGATAACAATACACGGGCTCAACAGTTGAAAATGCTGCAAGCTCAGCATTTTCAAGTACAAGTACAGCAAAAGTTGATTTAGTGGCACTGTGGTGTGGAAAGTAAAATCACTTTTTGAATATTAACTAGGGAGGAGCTAGCTCAACCCTCCTTTGGCATCACAGTTCAAAAAGTCAGTTTATTCTGCCATCTTGTGAAAAGGCATGATTTCATGTTAAACACAGTTGTTCCTAGATCTGTTTCCTGCTGGAGAATGGCAATGACACATGTTGTTTCAAACACACACCAGACCATGGTTGGACTCAAAAGGATCAACCCATGGCTTGGCTATTGCTGCTCCTAATGACACAGTTTAACCAGTTCTTCCAAAATCTTCACAGTAGCAGTATAAAAACTGCATGCCCAGAGAGCTCGCTAGCTCTCTCTCAATGTGCCTGACTTTAGAGGCAGCCGTTAAGACAAACATTAGTGTTTCCGATCACTTTTCTTTTCGTCTACTGCCCCTGGGCAGCACTATCCATTTTCAGAGCTTGTGGGACTTATAACCAACATCTACTTCCTGTTAATTTTTCATGAAACTCTGACCTATTTGCTAGTAGCTCTTCCTGCTTTCCAACCCAAGTGAGCCATACCCATCCACTGTGCTAAAAGCAGAACAGAACGCTAAGAGGATAGGGAGCAGATTATGTGGCTATTCAGTCTTAGGATTCTCTCTCTCAAAAATAGTTCATGTTTGGAATCTGAGCAAGAAGAGCCCCAAAGCCCAGGCTTCCTTTGCTCAAGCTGGTCCAAAGATGATGCACCAAACCTACTGAAGCACTGGAAAACAAAGGAGCAGGAGTTAACATCTGAGGTTAGGATTCACTGACCTCTTGCAAGGTTCCATTTAAACACAGCTTTGTCCACCAAAAGTAATCATCACATTGTGCCTCATCCTTTAATCCTACAACAGCATCAAAACTGCAGACATACTCTTTTAAAGTGTCATTCTGGGTACCACACAGGAATATAATCTTTCCACAGTCTCAGCTGAATACATTTTCCAAATACGTAGCCTAGAGATTTAACATAATAGAAGTTCTTAAAAAATATGTTATATTGTTAAAAGCTAAAATCTTAAGTAGCAACAGCAATTAAGACAAAGGTATGCAATAATCTGCATAACATTTACAAAATATACTGAAGTATTTAAAAAAATACCTTAAAGGTTTTAAATATATAATACCTTTTTGGTGTCTCATCGTGTCTCTGTATAAGGTAAAAACTATCCAAACCCTGTTTTCTTGTGCACAATCAAAAAAAATTATAAAACATTTTAAGAACTTGTTTGCACTGTCTCAGCCTTTTCCAAGCTTCTCCTTTGTTGGCATCCTATGTATGGAACTTTGGTATTGAAAATAAAATCTGAAGCCAAGTGCCTGCCTTCACATGGAAAGAATAAATGAAATGGCAGATGACAACCAATTCAGGCACCTAGCATGTTAGTGATGAATGGGCGTATTTACAACAGCAAGCATAATATAAACTATGGTCACTAGACTAGTCTGTCTAAGTGACAATCTGCATTTATATTCATTAAACAGAATATACATCAGCAAAAGTATTTAAGTGAATATGAACCTAAGTTAGTAGATGAATTAATTTTGCCGAAAGAGAAGAGTTACTATGAACACTGGAAGAAAAAGAAACATGATTGTAAAACATAAATAAACCCACTTATAAATAACATTGATTTTTAGGAACTGACAATAATTTTAGGTTCACAAGCTATTTGGTGAATAACACAAGGTAACATGTAGCTCAGAAGTCCCATCACGTCATATTTCATAACACACATAATCACTCATAATATTCTGGCGTAAAATAAAAGCGCGTCACAGAACAATATAGAAATACAGAGCAAAGTCATTGTAAAGGAGCAGGTTCTGTTATTTTAAAGCAATGGTTTTTCACAAGTGAGAACAAACATCCTACATGCTGAGCCTCACTGCAAGGTTCTGTGTTGTAAGGCTCTCTTAGGCTATTTCACCATGATCCCAAACACAATGAATCACATTACATAACTCAGACAGTAATACTTGTTTCTAATGGGTAGAAATGTTGGCTCACCAGAGCAGCCTCCTAGGGAAAGTTCAAGGTATTGCTTTTACTTTCAGTAAAAAGATATACAGGGAAGTCTACAGTACATCTGCCTAAGACAAGACAACTGCAAAACATGTCTATAAACATTAAGCAAAAAGGTGTCAGTAACATGGCTCAGTGCTGGTTGCTTAAGTATTGAAAATTCTGATCACGTCAAGGAGAGATACATGTTTATTAGGATAAGGATTAGTGTCGTCTTCTAAATAAGAAAAAACCAGCCAGATAAAACACTTGATTTAAACAGAGTTTTACAAAAAAACAACATTTTTTCAAGTATTTTTCTCCTTATCACAGTGAAAATGTAAGACCAGATGTAGAAGTGAATGTTCCTTAGATGAGTAAAAGGCAAAGTAGTAAATCAAAACATTTATAAAAATGCTTCAACGCATTTCCTTCATGTGGTATGAATAGAAAGATTTGTAAAAAGTTAGAAAAATTAAAATAAATTACATATTAAGTACACTTTCCCTTCAATATATTGTATAAAAACTTGGAATAGCATACCATTATCTAAATATACACAGAATACAAATGCATCAGGTGCTGTTAGTGACTGGCACCTCTGTACAATGTGTTATCGGTATAATGTTTATGATGTGCAGAAAGCCTAGTTTGGTGCTTACACCAGTCTTCAAAAAGAACTGTCAGTATACCCAGCTAATTGGAACCCACTGTGGTTCCGTCCTCAGCTTCTCTGTAGCGGTTTGCAACTTTTCAAAGGCTTTGTCTAGATTGTCGTTCACAATGATCAGATCAAAATAGTGGCTGTAAGCTCTCTGAATCCGTGCACTCTCATCAACTGTTTTCTTCAAATCAGTGTCCTGTTTGAAGATTGAAACAAATAAAAACATGATATGAAAAGCAAACTATAAATTCTACTTTTGTTTTACTTCAGTTAAGGTTTTAAAACTGGCAGCCAGATTTTAAACATAATTTATTCAGAAGACATTCTTGAGGATCTCAGTGGGAACTGCTTCCTAGCAAAACGTGGTAGAGACAGGCTTAGAAATGCAATGATATCCTAAAGAGTACAAGTTTTATTCAATGCATGAAAATACTCTATTTGTTATATAAGGTCTAAAATCCTCGATGCCCATAATTACATATAAACACTCTAGAATAATATTTGCACATTAGTAAATTGACAATAGCTCTGCATCAGCCAACTCTGAAAATATTTATTTCCAAGTAGCACTATTGTCTCCAGATCAGATTACAGCAATACAATGTACGTGAATTTGAAAAAGCCCTAGAAAACTTTAGTAATGCAGTGAAGCAGCTGCATCCGTACCAACATATCTCACCACTAACCCTAACCCTACAAATGATGCCAGTTTGTTGCCAAAGACATTTCAAAGAGCTAGTGATTATATATAAAGCTCTAAAAAGCCTGGGACCCAAGTACCTGAAGGACAGCATTCTACCACACAAATCTGCTCAAATTCTGGGATCATCATCTACGGCCCTCCTCTATCTGAAGTTTTATATGAGTGGTGACTTAGGAGATGCCTCACCTGAGAAATATGCTTCCCAGGGAGCCTTTACTCTTTAAGTTCTTTTTATGTAATTTTAGCACCAGGGAAATGCCTTTTAATTTGCCTAGCTGTTTTTAACATGTAAAGCAAGTCATCACTCATACTGGTGAATTTATGGGTTGCTTTGATTGTTCCTCCTGTTTCATTATGCAGCTTCTATATACTTTCTGTTTTCATTGTTTAAATGCATTTTACCCCAAGTGATTTTACTGAGGGATGGCAGGGAAAAAAACCAGGCACCATGCTAAGTAGATAATATAATGCATCTTTAAGATCACATCCTTTCATAGAAACAAGGTGTATGGCCATTTTTCAATTAAACAGCCACATTTCTTGGAAATGCTGAATTAACTTTACTTGCTGCATTAATCGTATCCACACACCCCAATCCTCGTGTATTGGGAGGTTAAAAAAACACAAACCCCATTATGAACATCACTTAGGAAAGCCATCTGCCTACCTAGACCTTCTGTAAGGCAGCAGTTATCAAGGGGAAGGAAAAGTACCACCTGCAGCAATGTATGGAAGCGCCCATGGTGTAAAAACCCAGGAAAGGTAAGAAACTTAGGGATTGAAGGTGGCCACCAAGTACACAAGGCATAGAAATGTTAGTGTTGATGCAATGGGTCAGGTTTGTTCATATATACATTTTTAAAAGTTAGATTTGCCTTACTGTAAGAAGTTTGGTTGTAATCCCCGCATCTACCACGGCTTTGTGCATGGCACGCAATGTCTCAAGTTCTGGAGCAGCAATGAACACTACGTAGGGCATAAACTCTGAAGTCCGCAATATTTTAAGTGCCTAGAGAAAGAGAGCATCAGCTAGATCACACAACACATTTTGAGATAGAAAGGAGCATTATTGCAAACAACTTCATACACTAAAAGCAGGAAACTTTAAGACGATGGCAGTGCGCAAAATATATAATCTCCACCTCCCCCATTTAAAATATTAAAATTCAGCCTTGCACGATTCAAATAAATTAGCAAATAGTGAGAAGAAATTATGTAACATCGTAACTGAGTGTTACTTGCTTCTCTAACGGTGACCAAAGGCTGCAGCCCTGCAGTAAAGTATCTTTGGATGAACTTTAAATGAGAAGGGTTCTGCTATGCTTTGTCACTTGCAAACCAGATGTTCTCTTCACTGATTAGTTAATGGGATTATAGTCACTATCTGTAATGCAGAGGCTCTCTTAAGGTTAAAATTGCCTTCATATGGTCAGCTATACAATCTTTCCTTTCGATGCTTCTATTTGAATATAGTATTACTCCAGCATACCTGTGGATTTACATCCAAGATGCACGTCCTTCCAGTCTGAACCACTTCAAGGATAGAATCTATTTTGGTGCCATAAAGGTTTCCTTCATATTCTCCATGTTCCAGGTATCTTCCTGCTTTAACATCTGCCTCCATTTCAACTCGGGACACAAACCTGTAGGCTTGACCATCTTTTTCATCATCCCTTGGCTTTCGTGATGTAACTAGATAAGTTTGACAAATGCACAACACATCAAAAGTTAGACTGACATCGCCACTTGTGTATTCATGCAATTGGATCTTACAGGGCTCAGATCCAAAACGTGTCCTACATGAGCGGAATGGCATTTCATCCAAGGGTGGGGTCCCATTTTTTACCAATTTGTATTCTCAAATGTTGGCACCAAATACCTGAGAAGTTCCTGAAAAGGAACATCAAATGTCACTCTTAAAATTATAAACAAAATTCTCAAGGTATTTTTAAACCGGAACTGCAGACATTCTTACATAACATACAGCCCAATGTTTAATCAGAAATAAATCCAAGCTCCATGCAGCTTATTCTCCCCAAGTGAGTGTGTTTTGGTATGCCGTTTGCTTGCACTCAATTACTGCTAGTCAGACAAAGCTACACCACCACCCCAAAAGCACTGTAAAAATGTTTACTTACAAAATATGAGCCAAGCTTATTTCTAGTGTTTTAATCTGCAGTTACTCTAGCTTTCTTCTTGCATCACAATATATAATACCAGCCTGAATCTAACATCATCAGAGAGAAAGAAGGGAAAGATCAGAATCAAGGGTGACAGTACATACAACTTACATGGCACTGTGGTTCCAAACTTTGTGGGATTTAGTACAATAAACCTGTTTTTCAAACTTCTTCGGCCCACTCCCTGGGCTCCTATTAACACCAATGTCTTTCTTTGAAATGGAGGCATTTTGGCTACTTCCTCATATATCTGAATTTCATGGCGGTCAAATTCTGGACACATTTAACATAATAAAAACAAGACAGTGGAACATTATACAGTTTCAACACTGTTCAGCACTCTTACTATACCTTAGGATACAGACAATTTCCTCCAGGACAGAACATTCCCAAGGATGCTAACATCCTTGCTGGGCTTTTGGCGGTATACGGATGTTCTCTACATACACATACTGAATCATAACATCCATGCATTGTGAAAGGGGTTCACTCCTTCACACAAATTGGGAATAATAATGACCCCATGGTTCCCAATAGAATGGAGGAACCTATGCACATGGGACTCCTTGCTCACTAGTGCTGAATACAGACACAGAGCAGAGCCAGTGGGTATACTCCCACTCCCTACATTTATTGCATATACATGGAGCTGCTTGCACACCACAACACTAAACAATATGGGGGAAACACTTTGGAGTTTATTATTTTTACTATGGGTTCTGCATTTACTTTGTTATGTCCTGTATTTTAATACTACATAGAAGCCACTGGGAAGACAGCTATCATAAAAAGCAACATATAAATATTGTAAATTTCAAGAATATAAAATATTCCAAATATGATTTGGAAAACATTACGTTAGATTGCAAGAATATACAAATGGAAATAGAGAAAAGCTAAATTTCACCAGGAGCCATTTTCTGGACTGGTATGGATAAGAACAGGTGCTCAATATAGAAGTATCATAACAGGAGAAAATGAAGATAAAAGCGCTTTTTTCAAATTAATATTCTCCTTGTGTTGAAAATTATAAATTAAGAAACAAAATACAAGTCAAGCACAATTCAAAATGTTCCTGCTGGGTTTGTTCTGTTGTGATGCAGTATTTAATGCTAAAAGTTCATATACCTGCATTTCTAGTTGTGAGATACATCATCTTTTTCTTCTTTTTACTACTTATTGTTCCACAAAAAGGACCTGAAAATAAATGGGGAAAAGTAAAAATATACTCCATAGTAACTCAGGATAAACCTTCATCAATGCTAGGAAAGATTGGAATGATCTTTTACAAGCAAAAGCTATGCTACCCTTGAGTAAACTGGGTTTATGCAAACACCTGTGTTTATAAAGTCAGTTTGCTTTCTACTTAATATTGCCTGTGTACCAGCAGGTGGCAGAAAGGCCTCAAATTTGCAAGGGAGTGAATATTCTAATTCTTGCTTTTTATTTTATCTCGGGTCAAATCATTTGTAATTGTCAAAATCACTGATGCACTTCCATTATTCATACCTTCTTGATCTTGCAGATTCAGAAGTGATGCAAAGAACTACACTGCTGTGCTCCTTACCTGAATTGTCCCAATCCCGTCGAACAAATGCTTTCCTCTTTTCTTCCAAGAACTGGCTAGGAATAAGTCCTGCACTTCCTCCTTCTTTGACATGGCTAGCCTGGAATCAAATTAAACATGTTTTGGCACCAACCCATAGTAAAACAACTACTACTACTACTACTAATGTAACAAAGATATTATTTAATATGCTGCAGTTTAGCTACATCAACATGTTTGGATTTAAAGCAATACCACATACTGCTACTAGGTAATAACTAGAACATTTAGTTCAATGTGGGTGTCAGAATAGATGGGTCTTCTGAAACAGTGATTTGGATTTTCTCCCCCACACTCCACCCAAAAAACCCAACTACAACTTACTCTTCATTGAACATTCCCCAGAGTGTAGTTTTGCTGGTTTATTACCAGTTAAATGTTTAAGCATTCGTTTCATAGTCTTATTTCTAGTATGAAATGTTGACTCAAGTGGTTCATAAACAATCTCAAACATTTTATAGCCAGATTTAGACTGAGGTCTACACGAATCTTCCAATTTCTTCAGAAATCTCCCAAGAACTTCATTTGTTGTTATTTTGCAAACTAAAATGTCATCCCAACACAAGGAAGAGCTTTGCAGAATCAGATCAAAGATCCATCTATTACAGCATCCTGCTTTTTGCTGTGACCCAGGAGATGCATTTGAAAGCCCACAAGCAAGAAATGAAAGCCATAGCCTTCTTCTGCTGTCAGAATCAGCTGCTGTGGCATATTGTCTCTGATCCTGTAAATTGCATCATGACTAGTACTCCATACTAGACTTATCCTCCATGAATTTGTCTATTCTCTAAGAAGCTAGAGACCATCTATCTAGAGGTCATCTCCAGAACTTGTGGCAGCAAATTTCACAAATTAACTGAGCACTGTATGGAGTCCTTCCTTTTTTCTTGTCTCTCCTTTATCTCTTTTCAATCAGCTTCATTAAATTACTTCAGAGTACAAGTATCACGGGAGAGGGAGAGAATCCTTTGACCATTTTTTCCACCTTAGACATAATGTTCCTTTGTTCATCTCCCCCTCCCCTTACTCACCCCTTTTCTAAACTAAAAAGCCCCAGATCTTGTAGCCTTTTCTTGCAAGTTACATCCAATCCCTGTTCATTTTGACTGGCTTTTTCTACACCTTTTCCAGCTGTGGGGTATCCTTTTCTGAGGTGCAGCATCCAGAACTGCACAAAATATTCCAAGTACAGATGGACCAACAGAGCACATCATAGATTTGTATAAAGGCACTACAATGCTGGACGTTTTATTTTGGACCTCTTTCCTAATCATTCGTAGCATGGAATTCACTTTTTTCACAGCTGCTGCACACCACAGCTTCTTTAGGAGCTATCCACCATAACAAAAATGTCTTTCCCGATTAGCCACCACTAGTTCAGACCCTGATGTGAAGGTATGATTTTCTGCCTCGTGTGCATCGCAGGAGAGACAACACAAAAGCCTGCAGGATCTGATAGCATTACCCACAAGGAATCAGACAGTAACGGCCAGAGCCCCGTTCTAGAGCCCCTTCGTGAACCACTGCAAAACCCTCTTAATGCCTACATCATAAAGCCTATACAGAAAGAAACCATGGTCAAGTTATCAAAAGCCACTGAGAGGTCTAGAATGGTTTGCTCTCCTTCTGTTTTTCTCCCAGCCTAGGAAGGACAAAGCAGTCTCAATAGCCTGCCCATACTTCAAAAGCCAGACCTGAACCCTGACTGAAGAAGATCTAGAAACTCTGCCTGATCCATGTGCCTGGAGTTCTATAGCAACTTTGTGCTTGTATATTCAGCACGGAACAGGAGTATCAGCAACAAAGCAATAATTAGGAACTTCTGGGCCCAGAGTAGGCTTATTCAGAAGTAGTCACGCCACTGTCACTTTTAAAAGTGGGCCACTTTGACTATCAAGCAGATGTTTAACACCTTCCTGGACACAGCTGATGAATCCCTTGCTGTTTGTAATGAATCAAGATGGGCAAGGGTTGGAAAGACACAAAGTGGGCTGTACTTGTCCAAGCAGCTAGTCCATATTCCTCAACCTCAAAAACTGAATCCAACTGAATCAAGACCACAGGATCAAGTAATGTTCTAATCACTTCATAGACTGACATGATTTAAATTGTTGCATCTGATAGACAGCAGACACAAGTGCCTTTATCATTGGAGTGCTTTGCATACAAGTCCCACTGGATTCCTTATCATCACCATATGGGCCAAACTGCAGACCTTGAACCACACAGAAAAGTTCCATTGGAAAACACCCTGAAGATAAAACATTGTTGAAAAAAGAACTGCTTCTTTACTGACATTCCAGCCATGGGGTTTAATCTATAGAGCTCCAACCAGTGATCAGATTCACTGGAAGTCTTCCACCCCCTCCACAAGTCTTCATAATTGCTTCACTGTCGTCAGCTCCCCTGAATACTAAGGAACTGAAGTAATTCTTAGTAGAAAAATGGTGCTTAGGAACAATTGTGCCAACTGCCTAATAACTCCACAGAGTGGCCAAGGTATTGACAGAAGCACTAAACATGCCAACCAGAAAATCCCAATGTTCTTTGGAATGCTGTAACTTCCAATGGCATGTGTTTCCCATTCATCTAGTGTGGAGAGTTCCATTTAAAGCTCTTCATTCTGCTTTTTTAAATATAATGCTAAGTAATTTTGTGTCATTTCTCACTTCACTGCCCACCCCTAGCTTGAGATCACTTACCAGCAACTTAAGAAGCATCAGTTCCAACAATGATCCCTGGAGAATCCTTCTTATTATCTCTCTATGGTAAACATTCAATTTATTTCTACTCTTCGCTTTCTGTGTTTAACCAGTTATGAATCTCTTATTCCATGAGTGCTAAAGTTTACTCAGGAGACACTGATGAAGACTAAATCAAAGGCCTTTTGGAAATCCATGTACAGCACTGTCTACGTGATCACCCCTATCCACATGCTTGACACTAAGAACTATAAAAGTTTAGTGAATGACTCCCTTTGCAGAACCCATGCAGATTCTTCTTTATAGTTCTCCTATATGCTTGACAAAATCATATTTAATAAAGCTTTCTACCAATTTATTTGGAACAGAAAGCAACACAAACCACAACTATTTCCTCTAATTTCAGTAGAATGTGTTCTTAGAAAGATAAACAAGCTTGACTTTTGTAACCCAACCAATAAGTGTTGAAGATAGCAGGTGTCGTTCTTTCTCCTTATACTTATTCCTAATACTGGTGTATAAACTTAAATCCAGTTCAAATTCAAAAACTTGCATATGTTGCCAACAGCCCGTAAATAATGTAAGAAAATGCAAACCAATCTAATCCAATCAACTTGAATAAAATCACAATATTCACATGAAATTCATATTCTGGCAAGGGGTGGGAGAGTGAGGAAAAATGGAGCAAAAACAGAGCAAAGCTGCTTATAGTACTAAGCTATATGGAAATAAGGCAAATAATTCCATAGGAAGTGTTTCTTCCACCTCCATTTCTTTTGAAATATCTGGGTTGATCTCCACTTACACAGCAGGATCCCCAGTCAAGCTCTGGAAAGAAAACTAGAAAAAAACCTAGAATGCAGTGGACAGAATGCTAGGATGAACCACAGCTTGTAGAGCATGGCCAGCCGTGAGCCTAGTGAAATAAGATGCTTTGAATCATAGAGCCAAGGTAATATCAAAGTTCTATCACATCCTTTTTTGCTCAATAAATACACAAAATCTGCCAACCTTGCTAGCCTAAAGTTATATAAGAAACCTACCACCTCACACATTGTTCCTCACTAGGTTTTCTATAAAACATTCATGCTATATTCCGATTGAATAAAGCAGCCTCAGGTAACCTGCCCCCTAGTAATCAGCAGTGGACCAATTTAAAACATTCCTGTCTCTCTCATTCCATTATTTTTCTTGATATAAAAATTCATTAAAACCATTTGGAATGAACGAATTCTGATCACGAGGGGATGTACATTAAAAATAGCTGCCTACAATTGAAGTTTGAAAGCAATCCCTTATGACACTGAATCATGGGCAGATCAGTCTGTCTATGTGCATTTGAATAGGAAGACTTTGCACAACGATAAAATATGCAACAAATAAATGAATAAAGCTGAGGAAATGACAAGTCTAGAGAAGACTGAATTAAACTTATTGTCTTCTAACCTGCCACCAGTTTGGGTCTTCACGATTCACAATTTGAAGAATTTCTCCTTTAGAAAACTTGAGCCCTGCTTCTTTGCATGGAATCAGGTTGTCGTTATATGGATTATAATCGAAGTGACACTTAACAAATACCTGTAACAAATAATGAAAGGGCTTAGCAAGTTCACATGATGCTTACTGCTTAACTCCAGACAATGCGCATTTTTAAGAAGTCAATTAAGTTTCTAGCAAGTATAATAGCAGTTAGCACAAACGGGCACAAATTACTGACATTGGTCTGCTTTTCACATCCCACTTGCCCCGACCATGGCTAATCATGGGTTAGCCCAAATGAGTAAGCGTGTGGGCTCCCAGAGAGCAGAACACAACCAGCTTGGTCCTCCCTGGTTGTTCTGCTGTTGTGCTTTGTTAAGCCATTGTTTTGCTGAACTTGTTGTCTGAACCCAGACTTGCGCTTTAGCTCACTCCAAGCAAATCACAAGCTGTACACCATAGGGTAAACAGTGGTTAAAGACTGTGGCTTGTCTAGAGAGAGCTGACGCACAAGCCTGGGCTCAAACACACGAAGCCAAACCATGAACTTGTCTTAGCAAAGCACATTAATGAAAACTGGAGAGCAGCACAGCAGCTACAATTTCCCCTCTGAGTGCCCACACATTCACTCATGAACATTTGACTTGTGTGATGTTATGAATGAGGACATTAAACTTAGTGCATAAACTATGTTTAAGTGTTAAAATATTTCCCAACATTAAGCTAACAATAATCATAGGTGAGAGCAATGCTTAATTTTAATTAAGAAGGGTGCACGACTGAAACTTGTGTGGCAATCCCTGTTATTGATTCAGCATGAATTTCTGGTAACACCAGTGTCCTCTGTATTCAAACATAAACTGACAATGACGTTAGATGGAAGTGGGAAGTGTACTTTTACCGTACATTAGTATAATACAGTGACTCTGTAGCAGCCATGCATGTTAACTACAACACACTCTGTGACAGTGATCAATGGAATAGTAGCCTAAGCAGATTCGGTTTGTAAAGCATATTAAAAGTTATAAGTCCCTACTATAGCTTTGTGACTATTGTATCCAGTTTTTCTGCAGGTCAGCAGAGCATATATGGGTGGTTCTATACTATTGCTTTATTATTATTATTTTATAAAATGCAAACAGCCAAGAGCTTTTTTGGGAGAAAATACGCGGGGAAAATCAAAACAAAAAGGTAAACATATTACCGAAGAATTGAGAACACTTTGAATGTCTGCCAACAACTTACATTTGATGACAAAACTAATACTTTCCAAACATTTCATCAGTATAGTTTGTTCTGTGCTTTTTAAAGAAAAATATCCCTTTTGACATAACAAATTGATCCAGCAAATCCTTCTTCTGTAAAGATGGGCTCACTTCTTATGCAATGAGGTTTTCTTTTCTACTCTGCATATTTGAGAACTGGATCAGAGCCCAGCCAGCCAAATGTAGCTTCACAACATATTAGTACTGTGTAAACTTAATATTTTTCATAAACTTTTTAAATATAGAAAATTGTAATCTTGAGGAAAAACAAAATGCTTACCTAAGAATTTATAAAAGAAGACTAAATGTAGCTCATTTTTTGTTTTAACTATAAACTGTATATAGTTTAAGCATATGTTGGACACAAAGGTATCAAAGTAAATGATATACTTTTTCTCATTTAAGAGGAATTCACAAAAACTTAACTCCTTCAGGAAAGTAATATAAAGCCCTTTTGTAGACAGTAAAGAGCAGCTTCAGAGGTGATCTCCTGCTCTGTTGATACACTGACAACGTATGTATTCTAAGTGAAAGAAAACCTTGTGCAATTATGTTAGATTATAATCTAACAAGAGAGTCATATTAATCCTGCATAGTATACACTCTACATAAGGATTTTATATTCCATCAAGTGGCCATTGGTGATCCACTGACTGTAGACAACTGATTACTATAGTTATGAGAATACACACACACACACACACACACAATATAAAGAAAAAATAAAACATATAACCAAATTTATCCCCTGCAATAGTTGATTTAATTAACATTAGAGTAAAGGAAAGGAAACAAATGAAGTCCCTTCAAGTGAAACATAGTACTACTCACCTGTTGGGGAATAATATTATCTCTGTAGCTAGGAAGAATCTTCAGAGTGACACTTCCACTAATACTTTTCAGAAGTTCTTGCAACTCTTTTGGATTGTTTCCAACTTCATGACCATTAACCTCTTTAATAATATCACCCACATGTAGAAGACCTTGTCGATCTATCATCCCTCCATGAAGGATTCTTGCAATTACCAGATCGTTATTCTCCACCCTAAATGTCACACCCTAAATGAACAGTGGGAGGGCATCAGAGTTTATCTCTGCAGCATATATCCACATTTTAAAACTAGACTCTTAATACTGTGATTGTGTATCACATGAGAGTTGTTAAAACTTTTATGTTCCTGAAATCCCAAAAATGAAAAGTACTTCAAATAAGGAACTGACTAACAAAAATCTATTTGTCAGGCTTTCAGCTGACAGGAATGATTCCAGACAATTCTGAGTTCATTAAGGTTTATTCCACGGTGTAGGTAGCAAGAATGTATGCTACCCAGTTAACATATATAAAATCAAGCTTGTAGTTACCAAGGCCCCTGAGGAGTTTCTGGTAAATGGCATTATTTTACCCAACATAGCTAAAGGTTTCAACAGCTCTTGAAAACTCTGAACTACTCAGATGCACTTAGGAAGTTTTCCCTTCCCTACTTCTGTTCCACCTTAGGCTATAGCTTCAGTTGAGAATGGATTTATCTTCTTACAACATAGGTTAAGAGAAGCAAGAAAGTCAATACACACAGACATGTCGAATATCCCTCCCCTCTGTATGTAGGGAAGGTGGGAAAACGGAATGTTCTTTCACAATTTACTTACCAGCGGCTCCCCTGCTCTTTTGTGAATGCCAAGTATACGGATGGCATCCACGGGCACTATCTGATTATTCACTGAAGAATTATTGATTTCTGGGCTAGAGGGAGGAGATTCATAACACTTTGATGCCACAATATCATGGGCTTCCAAGAGTGACTGCAAAAAACAAAACATACATACATACATATGTAATGGAGTGTAGCAGTGTAATTACTAAAGTTACATTTGTTTCTATCTAAGTGATAATTGCCCCAACAGTCAGAAAAGGAGAAATGTAATAACTCCTCAACATTTCTGTGAACAAGTGGACACTGCAAAATTTCATAAGCTCAATTTGCATGTCAAAAGAGCAAGACAGTAAGCTTCTAGTTAATCCTTTTTTACTAGTTTTCATTTTAAGGTAATTCTTCCTATGCATGTTCTGCAGTTTAGAAAGTGGTGCTTAAATCTCATTTAAACTAGAGCAACAAATTGTTTAAGATTAACAGAGGTTTCTTCCATTTCAGCAGGACACAAAACATAACTAACTCTCTGGGATAAAGGACACAGTGTTTTATCTTTAATTAGATGAAAAATGATTTTGATACATTATAGTAAGTGAACAAAAGTATTTTTTATTGTTAAGAATGAAGTAATCTTACCAAAAAGTGTGGCTCCTTCAGTATACCAACCAACTCTGCAATGTTTTCATCTTTGTTTATTAATGGACTGATGTCTTCAAGAATCTCATTTACCAATTCCAGATTGTTGTCACTGACAGCCTCAAGCTTAGAATCTTCCAGTCGTTCATGAGCCTGTGAAGATTGGAAAATAGACCTTAGATTGACTGGAAAATTTTTGATTAACAACTCTGCTTCTCCAACTGCATTGCCTCTGGTTGCTTGTTCAGATAGTCTAGCATACAACTCTATCTTCTGAATAGTTATTTGGTTCCCCTACCTCTAGCAATACAAGCAAGATACTATGGCTAGCATACAGCTCTGTGGGAGCAATAAAATGTATCTAGCCACAGAAACAAGGTTAGCAGGTTTTTTCCTCACCTTGGCAACTGTTATGGTGACTAAAGGTAAAGGTAAAGGTACCCCTGCCCGTACGGGCCAGTCTTGACAGACTCTAGGGTTGTGCGCCCATCTCACTCAAGAGGCCGGGGGCCAGCGCTGTCCGGAGACACTTCCGGGTCACGTGGCCAGCGTGACATCGCTTCTCTGGCGAGCCAGAGCCGCACACGGAAATGCCGTTTATCTTCCCGCTAGTAAGCGGTCCCTATTTATCTACTTGCACCCGGGAGTGCTTTCGAACTGCTAGGTTGGCAGGCGCTGGGACCGAACAACGGGAGCGCACCCCGCCGCGGGGATTCGAACCGCCAACCTTTCAATCGGCAAGCCCTAGGCGCTGAGGCTTTTACCCACAGCGCCACCCGCGTCCCGTTATGGTGACTAGTGTTCACTTAATTCTGTGCACCATCACCATACATGCAAAACTGATTTCTTAAAGCATAAATAGGCCAACAAAGTTGGCAGCTGTAGGTGATATATGGTTAGTGAAAGCACCTTTTACCCAGAATTGTAGAGCTGGGACCCTGAGGATCATCTAGACCAAGCCTCTGCAATGCAGGAGTATGCAGCTGTCTTATCTGGGCATCGAACCTGAGATCTTGGTGTTATCAGCACCATGCTCTACCCAACTGAGCTATCATAAATCCTCATTGGGAAGGGTTTTCTCTGGCCTTCCTGAATTGTGATGCTGCTGTCTTGTATACTGTTTTGCTCACTGATCTATTTATGGCACTTTATTACTTTCGTCTGCTCTTCATTGCTATGAGTGCCTTTGAGCTAAAAAACCAGCATACAAATAAATTGTAATCACAATCCTTGAGATCTTGATTCAAGGAAAGTGTTGCTAGCAAAGTGTAATCTGGATATCCAGATTTCCAGCATATACATATTTTATCTTTAAAAGTCTGTTAACAGTGCATTGAAGAATTCTGATATGGAAACTTTAAACTCATATATTTAGTTTCTCTCTTTAAGCAGCCATCAGATTCTCTACTCGATTCATTTTTTTTGGCACAAGTATAGATGTATCCTCAACCATTGTAAGTTTTAGAAAAACAGATCAGCGTTCCTTTACTGAAATTATGTATACAATTTTGTGATCCTAACTGTTTATAATATGGGAAACTGCCTTAAGTAATAGTTGCCAGTGAACTCAGTCACCAAAAACATATCTAGAGTGTCTGTGGGAAGAGTAGAACACCGGGTTGAAAGGAGCAGACAAAACCCCCCCGAAATGCTCAGGCCTTTCAAAAGGCTTATAATTATAGTTCATTTCGTTTCTATATCACTTTGTATTATTAAGGAAAATAATCTGAAATCGGTTTTCAACACATTAAAACATTAAATACTACAACCCAGTACTAAAACATTACAATCCCCTTTCTATGCTGGATGACATCACTTTGTACACAGGGACTTGAAGCATATTCACCTGTGAGTGTGAGGCAAGTTCTTCACACTCATTCACACTCATTGCCCTGCAGAATCTTGCTAGTCCATACCAAGAGGGTTATAGACACAGAAATCTAGACCCCACTGCACACATGATAAAGTCCAGCAACTCTCCATATACTGAGCTCTTTCCAGCCCACCTTCATGCTAAATTCTGAAGTTAATATATATATTAAATATATATTATATATATATATATATATATATTTAAACAACACTGTCACCTTAGCAAGCGATCTTACAATAGGATTCTCCATAATTCCTTTCAAGAAAATAAGGTCTATTTCTTCAGCTCCTGCTGATGGAGGCAAGTCCGTAAGGTTGTCCAAAACTTGCTGCATTGCTGCTGAAAACAAAGATGAAAAGGGAGAAGTTGAGCAAGAGATCATTTTTTAAAAAGTTAGGCTTAATCAAATAAATTTAGCATGCCGATTTTTCCTTTTAAACTGTCATTAAACTATTTAAGGCCCAAGCACACTGTTTTCACGTCATCTGATTATTTTTTAAATAAGCATTTCAACAGTTTACATATAAGTGTGTAAAAAACTAGGTCATCATTAGCGCTTATGGCACAGTTCAAACCCAGTTACTGTGTATGTTGTTGTAAGTGGACCGATCTGTATGCTTAGAACAGAGATATAAAAGACATGGTCAGTAGTGCTGAACCTAAATGGATGTAATTACTGGCCCACAATTGTATCTAAAGGCACAAGTATACACTCACAGTTGCATTAAATTTTAGCTGATCAAAATCCCACCACCATTAAACAAAACATCTTAAGTGCATAATATTGAGAAAAGGAGGTATGGCGGTATTCAGAAATAAGCTGAGAAGAAAAAGCAGCTACCCCTTTCAAAACCACAAAAACACAAGCAACAAGTTTGTTAAGAACACAAATCTCATTTGAGAAAATTCCAATAGATTCTGCACTGTTGTAATCCAGTTGCCTTTATTGTATAAAATGAACAGAAGACACTCTTAATAGCCCCTTCTTCAAAAAACTATTTCTTTTTCTAGCCAGTTGTACTAAGTACAATTTTTCGGCCATATAGTACCATTCTCAAAGTGAAATGGAGTTGGGTTTTAAGGAATAGCTGCTATACCCACACTTTCTAATAAATGCATCCCATTTCTTCCTAGCAAACAAGTTCTCACTGAAAGCATGTGTAGGAGGCTAATGACAGTCACATTATGCTTTCAGAAATTCTGACAGCAACGGGGATTTTTTTCTTTAGTGGATAAACCAAGGTTGTTGCCAATCACTCTTAAGGTTTCTGAAACATAATGCAGTTGTGCTGGTTAACATAAAGATTAGGGGGAGCAACACAGGCATAGCAGAAAATGCAAGTTAATAATCCAGGCTGTTCTGGAACTTGAAGAAACAGATACTAACACCTAGCCATCTAAAATATTTTTCCAGTTCTGCCTAAAGAAACCAAGACAACCAGTGTAAGCTGCCACCTTGTTTAAACTCAAAGATCTTGAAAGATGCACAGAAATTTTTCTCACATCTAATATGTCTGTGTACACCCACAGGTTTTCTACATGCTTGAGACAAATGTATAAGCTACATAGTGTTCAGTTCCAGTCTCTACACCTCAGAAAAAGGTATTATACATCTGGAAAAGGACAACCAAATGATCCACTCCCCTATGATGAAAGGTTACACTATCGGGAGCTTTTTAGTTTAGAAAACAAGAAAAAGGAAGGGGAAGGACGTGACAGACGTGTGTAAAATTATGCATGGTGTGAACAAAAACAGACATACTAGAACAGGGGCCATCCAGTGAAGCTGAATATTGCAAGGACAGTTCAGGACAGACAAAAGAAAGTACTTCTTCACTGGGCACACAGCTAAAATGTCTCTTAATGGCTATATTTTACCAAGTACCTGAAGTTGCCATTGTCTTAGGGAGTCATGTGGTAGGGACAAATGATGTTTGTATAATACCTATTACTGGAACCAATTTGTATAATAATTGAGAATATACCGGGGGGGGGGGGCTAAAAAATTCTACTTCACTAAACCCAAGGCTCACATCCTAATCAATATATATAGTAGCTCTTGAAAATTTATATTGTGCCAATTGTACAAAACACAATCAGTCTTGCTGTTGTAATTTATTTGATATGGCCCATTTCAGGTACACATCTTGCAACATGAGCTCACATTATAACTGTTAATTGTTATAAAAGCAAATGAATTATTATTAGAAAATGAATAATATGCTCTTTCATAAAATGTAACAAGGCTGCTTACAACATAATAGTAGCAATAAAATCAGTCTTTAATTATGTTTAATAGATACCTATAGACTGAATAAAGCACCAGTAGATACTGGTTCATTTAAAGAAAAACTCATATTGTGAAAGCCTATCTAAACAGTTCAGTTTTTAGAAGATGTCTCAAAGTGGGCTGGGACAACTTCCTTCTAATAAATTTGGAAGCATGTGCATGACACCGCCTCTCTATTCCAATTATTTAATCCAAACAACCCTGTAAGGTAGAAGATATTCTGAGAAATGAGACTGGCCCAAGATGACCCAATTACAGTGGTGCCCCGCAAGACGAATGCCTCGCAAGACGAAAGGGTTTTCCGTTTTTGAGTTGCTTCGCAAGACAAATTTCCCTATGGGCTTGCTTCGCAAGATGAAAACGTCTTGCAAGTCTTGTGATTTTCGCTTTCCCCCCCCTTTTTCTAAGCCGCTAAGCCGCTAATAGCCTTTTAGCCACTAAGCCGCTAAGCCTTTAATAGCCGCTAAGCCGCTAAACCGCTAATAGCGCTAATCCGCTAAGCCGCTAATAGGGTTGCTTCGCAAGACGAAAAAACCGCTAGACGAAGAGACTCGCGGAACGGATTATTTTCGTCTTGCGAGGCACCACTGTAATTCCATGGCTAGAACATAACCTATTACAGTGTGACTGGCAGTGAATCACCACGGCTTCTTTTCCCAACATCCCATCCCATCTCAGGGACAGATCCACAAATTTTGCACATTCATACCACTACTACCAGGCTTGCTCATATCTTGCCTCATATCCTCGCCACTCCACTGGAAGTCTGAGGAGCAACAGCTTCTCATTTCAGCTCTGTCCAGTTGCTATAGCTGGAACAAGGAAGGACACCATGGTATCTTTAGAGTTATTTTGACTTTCTCTGCTGTGTGTAGATTGGCTGGCTCTTCAAAACTCATTTGCTCAACAGACATTTGCCCTTTATTTTAACACACTGTCATTTGGATTATATAAAAGAATAATTTAGTGTGTGGATAGGTCTGCAATTTTAATGAATGTTGATTCCATTTATTCAAAATCCAGAGATAGATGGCAACCAGCCCAATTCATTACGTTCATGTCCACCATTCTAAAAAACAACTTCATATTAGACTTCTATCAACAGTTGTTCATATAAAGCTCCACATACAGGCAATTAAGACTATCTCAACCATTTTCAAGCAGTGGCGGTGTATCCAACAATACTATCAGTCTTGTATAAATTATATTAATCTATACTATTAAAATGCAGTGGCTGACATTTATCTTTGTGAGGAAGCACAGACTTCCTCAGCAGGATATAAATGATCCTAACAGGTTAGGTTAATGTCCATCCAGCCCAGAATGTAATATTAAACTGTGGTGGCCAGTATACTAATTTCTTTCTAAGGGCATGTATTACAAGAAAAGTTATATGGAACTGTAATTCCCTCTAAGCTTAAGGAAGACAATGTTTTAATGGCATCATACAAATGAGCTTCATCATACTGGTTAATAGCTATAAGTCAGGACTACCAGTTTAGATATGTCTAATCTTTTTCTGAACCCAGTCATGCTATTGGCCATGATAATATCCTTCAGCAATTAATCAATAGCTCCTTACTACCATGCATGAAGGCCTTTTCTTTAAAGTAAACATACAAATTATACAATTCTCTTGAAACAAGTTATCTTTAAAGAAACCAATTACTTATCATCATGAATTATGCCCATCATATTCCACATGAACACCAATTCACATTTATCAAGGTTATAAACCCTAAGCCTTTACATGTGATTGCATGTGATACTATAACATCTAATCTGAAAAGCTACACACGTCTTAGGAAAACAGCCCTGGTCTATCTATCTCAATACTGTCTGGCAGCAGCTCGCCAGGATTTCAGAGTGGAGTCTTTCCCATTCCTACCTGGATATGCCAGGAATTGAACCTGGGACTTACAGCATTCAAAGCAGACGTGGTACCACTGAGGTATGGCCCTTCCCCACATATTTTAGAGGCACAGCAAAACATAGGATATTTCAAACATTCTTCATCTTAAGGTACAATGTAAAAGGTTGAAGGAAACTGTTTCTCATTTCAGGGTCTCTCTCTCTCCCCCCCCCCACCATTCTATTACTCTACAATTTTGAAGAAAATGATACATTTTTTCCATCAAGAGTAGCTTCAATTCAATGCTTCCAGCAGAATCATGTAAAGAACGGTGGATATATTAAAGTCTTAAATATTGTTTCTTACGCATTAATACAAGTATGGCCAATGCCATTCTTTTAAAAAATGCTTTCCAAAATTAGGCCACTCCTTTGCTTATTCCAAGCTCGCATAGTTACCTATTCATAATCCACAGCAGCTATGTAGTGTCAAAATTCCCAATGCAATTCCAGGCATGCTTACTCCAAAATCTCGCTGAGTATAATGAGACTTGCTTCTAAGTAAGTGCACTTAGGAATGAAGCTTTAAACAGATTACATCTTTCTATTTTCCCACCCTAGCTACAAAACTATGTTCTATATAGATTAGGACTCCATGATATTTAGAATATGCTTGCCATTAGTAATCTGCCCATACTATTTATCATGTATGTAGTTCTCCCAACAGTTGTTATCACAGCCACAATTCTACATCAACTGTGACATTTATGGCTTTTATAGCCTACTGGAGAAAACTGAACATCTGAAGGACAGAAAACAATCTTATAATTCAATACAAGCAGTGACTCCCATCAGAAAGCGACACAGATGCGGTAACATTTGTTATCTGCTAGATTTCCAATTGGGTCCCTAACTGGGTTACAACAGCTCCTATCATACAAATACAAGCCCTCAGTTTGAAAATGTCACAAATGTTAGAATGGTCTTCCAGGCTTGTTCCCACCCACCATGCTGTTTCACAGCAGTTCACACATTAGTGTGGCATGCAAACATGTTAATGTGCCACATCAGGTTTGACAGGCAGAAAAGCGGGCAAATAAGTTGACTGAGCATATGTATACACAGAATAAATCGACATCCAAACTTGGAGAGTAGGGCACATCTGACTTGTTCCTGGCACCCTACCATGAACATAGAG